AGATTCACTCCATGTTAGGAAAGATCATAGGTCTAGAGTTTGGTACTATGGAAACATAGAATCATTTACATTGGAAAAGATCCCTAAGGTCCTTGAATCCAACTGTTAACCCAACACTGCCATTTTCATCACTAAACTGTGTCCCCAGGTGCTACATCTACAGGTCTTTTAAATACCTCAAGGGATGGTGACACCATGGCTTCCCTGGCCAGACTGTTCAAATGCTTGATGGCACTTTTGGTGCAGCAATTTTTCATAATATCCAATCAAAACTTCCCCTAGAGCAAGTTGAGCCTATTGTCCTGTCACTTGATACTTGGGAGAAGAAACCAAACCACACCTCACCACAACCTCCTTTCGGGTTTTTGTAGAGAGTGATAAGTCTCTCCTGAGCCTCCTTTTCTCCAGGCTGAGCCTCCCCAGCTCCTTCAGCTGCTCTGGTCCTCTGAGATCTGCTCTTGGAAGCAGGAAAGACCACAGTTTTTATTTAGAAGCCAGAGAGGTCACTGATGTGCAAAACTCCTGGCAAAGAGCATACAGCTGCTGGTACTTTTTTCTTAGGGAGGATTATTAGAGGAGCTTTGGGTCATGGATAGCGTGAGTTCCAGGAGAATGCAATCAGTGATTGTGTCTATGATTGCTGTAATAATAACCCTACACACAAAAGGAACAAATACAGTATTTGTGCAAGCATCTGGATGGAGGCAGATTCAGACTTGCTCTGTCCAAGCTGTGAGATAACTAAGCATCAGGCTGCTCTGATACAGAACCCTCATAGCTACAGTAGCTGGATGTCCACACCCACACCAGCAAGCTCTGGCATGACAGCATGTTCAATCAGCTGCATTATTTCAAGGATAAGGCAACTGGACATTATTGGTCATTTGCTTCTGCACTTCAGCAAAGTTTTGACCAAACCCAGTTCTTATGATCTGGTTCTTGATTTGCTCTTCATGACCTGGATTGCTTATTTACTATCCTCTTCAAGATAAGCAGGGCAGTTCAGTTCCTTCTCTTTATTCAAACAAAATTCTTGCTGGTTTCAATTCCAGGTCTGCTGCTCCAGCCCAAAGCCACAAGGGTAGCTTTCAAACACTGCAGAAGAATGTTTGTCTGTGCTGGGATATTTTTCTAATCAAAAGTGTAAATCCAACATGAATCATATCTATCCATCAGTAAGACTTCAATAAGTGTGGTTTTGCAAGATTCTTGATTTGGTGTTAACTGTCTCCATTTTACATTTTACTTCTACATCTGTGCATATTATTTACATAATGCACTGCAACAAATACCTATAAAACCAACCATGTATTTGGGACAGGAGGTTCAGTCTATTACATAGCCTGTGCTTCTTGTCAGGTTTGATTCATGTAAATGCTTACAGAATGAAACTGCACTGTCAACAGCTCTGAATTCACTGTTCTTTCCTGAAAATTCCTGCTGCAGGTAAAGCAGAAGGAGGGGAAGGGTCCTTGTCCTTCGAGGGAGGCACAAAACAAGTCTTGCAAATGAACCAGGGCAGATGCCTTATATCTGACCGCCTGAGGCCTGGAGGCCTTTGAGATTTCTATCTTCAGTCCTCTCTCCTTTTTGTCTTGGGACGGTTTCATTAAGACCCAAGACTTTTTACTTTTTTCCCACCATATTTCCTGCTGTTCATCAGTGTCCCACAGCGATGCTCTGCCAGGTGACAGATGAATTCTGTGTACTTGCTGTGTGTGCAGACCAAGTATTAGAAATGCAGTGGGATGCCCATGCCTGAGCCAGAGAATGTGAACACACAGTTCTTCAATTCCTCCACCATAACATGACTGCACCCTATCACCCATCTGAGCCTCGGGTGCCAGCCTGAACTTCAGTTTTTAATCTACTTGTAAAAGTCAAAGTACATTTTTGGCCTACAGGCCATACAGAGAAAAGAAGAAGGATGTTCGGTCCTGAATTTTGTTGTATTTTGACATTCACATTCCCTAAACATAAATCATTAATGTTCAAATAGATCATACTTTTCACTAGCTTGTTCCCTGAACTGCCTGATTTCCTACAGATTTGTCTCCTGCCTCTAACTTGCTTTTCTATAGACATCAGACATCCATCCCAGGTCTCCATAACCTCTGGATATCTGCTCTTTTGCCCTCGCTCTCACCTTTGTGACATTTCCCAGATCTTTTTATTGCTCCTGTCTTTCTCCCCTCCAGTCTTTGGCTGAACTACTTGCAGAAATTTTGCTGAGGTTTTTCAGGCTCTCCAATATTTCCTTCTGATGTCTTCACCCCTCTAGCCTTTGAGTGCATGCTGTGCACAGGCTTATTAATTACCCATCCACTAACACAAGGAATGATGGACAACTGAGCCTTGATTCCATCATGCCCAGCAGGAGCAGGATCTGTGTGTCTGAGTGCCCAGCTACCAACCATCATAAGACTTTTCCAAAGCCAACATCATGGAGAACCAACAGGATTGAAAAAGGCCTCTGAGATCATCAAGCCTAACCCTTGATCCAACACTGTTACAGTTACCAGACCATGGCACTCAATGCCACATCCAGTCTCATCTTAGAAACCTCCAGGGATGGAGAATCCACCATCTCCCTGGGCAGCCCAATCCAGTGTCTGATCACTCTCTCTGTAAAAATTTTATTCCTGATATCCAACCTAAACCTCCCCTGGCAGAGCTTAAGACTGTGCCCTCTCGCCCTCCTGCTGGTTGCCTGGGAGAAGAGACCGTCATGTGATATCTCCTTTTAAAAAAAACAACAAAAATAACAACCACTGTCAGTATTTAGGTACTGCCTATACTGAGGTCTCAGGTCTGAACTAGAATATCCATTTCTTTAAAAAAAGGAGACGTTATAATTTTATTTTCCATCAGACTTAATGTTGATAAGACACTGATTTTTTTTTTTAAGTTGTTGCCAAGTAGGGTTTATATTAAGTCAAGGACTTTTCAGCCTCTCATGCCATGACAGTGAGTAGCCTGTGAGTGCACACAGAGCTGGGAGGGAACACAGCCAGGACAGCTGACCCTCACTGACCAAAGGGATACCCCATACCATGTGGCATCACTCTCAGTATGTAAACTGGGGGGGGAAAAGCTGGCCAGGGGCTGCTGCTCAGGTACTGGCTGGGCATCTGTTGGCAAGTGGTGAGCAAATGCATTGTGCATCACTTTTATATTCTAAATATTTTGTCGTGATTATTATAATTTCTATTATTTTCTTCCTTTTCTCTGCTATCAAACTGTCTTTATGTCAAGTCATGCATTTTCACACACTTACCCTTTACCTCCCTGATCCTGCTGGAGGGGCAGTGAGCGAGAGGCTGTTTGGTGCTTCGTTTCTGGCTGGGGTTAAGCCCTGACAAGTGTGCACAGAGAGGTTTGAGAGAAATAAATATGAAATTCTGTGCTCACACTGTAAGTCATTGAAAAAAAGATTACCCACCAAGGCTGGGTAATCTTGTCCTGACCCTGACCCAGCAGTGTGCTCACAAAGATGTCAGGAAACCCCTGGAGAAGTGCACAGGTCTCATCAACAAACAACTGACCTGAGAGTGCTTTCGTGGAACAGGAAGGGCTGCAGGAGCACGTTTCTGTGCCTCACTCCTTCCCAGGCTCTGAGATTCTACTTCAACCACAGAAGGCTGAAAATCTGCAGTGATAATGAAAACGTTAATGCAATCTGAGCTACCTCAGTACTAGTGGGGCTAACCATTAAAATCTCATGAAAAACATAATGAAGCATTTTTTTTTTTAATTTTTATGCACTAACCACAGAAGAAGGCAATTTATCAAAACCAGTCCCCACATCTGACTAATAGTTTTGTACATTACAGGAATCCACGACTAACTGATGAAAGCTGATAAGCTGTAAATGGTTTCTCTTCTTGTAAATATTGCAAAGCGTCCAGCAGTTTTGGTAATACTGCCACAATAAAATCAATTAAAAAAAAATGAAAGAAAGAAAGGCTAAAAGCATTTCAGAAGTACGGGGGGACGGGGGGGGGATGTATTTTCATTATTTTTCATGTTTACGTTGCTTTTCTTCCTTTCTTTCTCTGGAAAAACGTGAGCCATGCAGCTCTGTTGTTAAGGGTTGCAATCTGGTGGGATCTCAGTGTTTAAACCACATTCTTGTAGTTACAGACTAAATGGCAGAGCCCTAAAGGAACAGCGAGGTTCTGGGGAAGGTTATCAACTCAGCTCAGGGTATTTTGCCCCGCAAGTCAGAGCTGAACTAATGTACCACTAAAATACCAGGTGACACAAAACTTCTGTTTTAGCTAAGCTACAACTCAGAGAAAATTGATAGGAAATATTGTTTTGCCAAAGCAGTGGTGATGCCAGATATCTACCTAATTATATCTACCTAGATATCTACCAAATTATATTTTTTTCTAAATTAAAGATTTTAATACTGCCATCCAGTGACCTTGCACTTTTCCTCTGTGAAAATAACCCTGATATGAAAGCAATGAGCAATTTTAAATGGTGAATACCTAAAGTACAACAGAACTCAAATGACACTGTGCCGGAGAATCATAAAATATTTTAAAAACAAAATGGGTGAAAGTCAGCCTTGTAAGGGGACCGGCACAGGCTGTACATCACTTAAGGTCTCAGAGTAGGATTTAAGTGAAGCTTAACTGGTGCAAGACCTGTGTCTGACACAGTGCAGACCTGAGTGATACCCATTAGTGTTTTAACCCTCACAGGCAAGCTTTTCTTTAAGGATCCTTTTATTGCCTCCATAGCTTTTGCAAATAAAGGGCTCCCTTTTGCACTGCTGTTTCACACCACAAGGAGCCTGGTTGCATGCTTTCCCTTCCGAAAACGGCAGTTCCTCTATTCGAGAGAAACCCACACGTAGGCAAGGAGGACCCTAAGGAAAAGTATTAAATCAGAGCAACCAGGAACAGCAACAACGACCTCTCTGATAAAGCAGAACAGAACAGCGTGTAAGTGCTACTCTCTAAAGCTTTGTATCTATCTCACCCTTTCAGAGCAAGCTCTGGAAATTACAGGCTTAGAGAACGGGGGTCTCTGCGACGTCCGTGCCTCCGACTGCACCAGGATCCGGGTGTTTGGCCTCGGCTTCGAAGAGTCGCCCAACCTGCACTGTGAGGTCACCAGGTTAATCGTAAGCAGCTCATCAGATATGGATGATGCAGCCAAACTTTGGCATGCTTGTATAAAATTCTTTTACTCTGAACTATCACCTCTATCTGCCACAGGTGGCTACAAACACCTTCCAGCTCCGTTGCCAATGTGTATGCCATAATCCCCATGAGGGGAGCTGAAGAGGCTCAGCCCTTTCATGGACTGGTTCCTTGGAAATGCACAGCTAGGAGTTCTTGCTTGTTTTCTCTGAGGGCTTTTGCTTAACTCTTCTCTGGTTCAGCTGCACTGTAGTCCGTTGAAGCCTGAAATCACAATATTATTTCTCATTTTGTACATCTGGAATCAGCATGCTTGGTTATTTTCCTAAACACATTTAAATGCCAAGTTTTGTGGCTGAATATAAGGTTTCTTCAGCATAGTTACAGAGGCTGTTATTTGAATTTTCTTAGCCCTAGTTCAATACCAAATCAGAAATTTTAATGAGTATTAAACCTATCTTTTACATTAACACTATAATTTTATCATAAACAACTATACACATGAAACACTCGGACTGAGTTCAGTGGATCAGCATATGCAGATATGAAACGTTTGATTAAACTCTTAAATCCACCTCAGAAAAGGCATTCAGCCTGATTCCCAGTCAGTGTTCATGAGGCACAGCTGAGATTTGCCTGCCATGCCCACTTATGGCTCCATAGGCACTTGGCAAGCTGTGATGTCTCGTGCAGCTGACCTAGAGAAGTATCTGACATCACCTTAAAGGAACAAGGAGCTGGCTGCTGAGCTCCAGGGGCAAACACAAAGTTTTTCATCACATTACCCTATCTCATCCCAAGTGCAGACCACCACAGCACTTCCTAAATCAATAGACCACCTGCATGCATAGACAAGCATGGCTTCCCCTTTCCTGTGCCTATAGTAACAGCACCATTTCTTTTAAATAAACCATCTGGGAATGCCTTACATTATTAATTAGAAATACAAACATATGTTGACAACTAGACTTCTTTTATATGAGCCTTCAGTTTGTGCACTCTCCTTCTGTTTTGCTGTAGCATCTTGATGGTAAATGGATATCAAGAGAAAAAGAGACCACAAAAGCAGATTTTCTCAGCTCTGAGGTTGTTGACTGCCAGATCCCTCTCCTGAACATTACAGAGGCTGTGCACTTTGTGGCCTGGGACGAGCCGTTCGCAAGATGGCAAGTGAAAGTAGGAGCTTCTTTTGTTTCTAAGAAATGTTTTAGGAGGAGAAAATCAGTTGTCACGGTAAATTAAAATACAAAGCACAATTTTCTTCCTTTCAGAAATGAAAATGCCTCTAGAAATACTCACATTAATGTCATGTAGGGAAAAAAAAAAACCACCCCACCAACCACAACAGTATGAGCTGAACCCAGGTGTTTCTGTAGGCAATCCAAAAGTGCAAATTACAACCACTTCTCCAGGTAATCACCTGAGATTGATTCAAATGTACTAATTAATTGTTAATCATTAGTATCCCATCTCTGGAAACCTCAGCTCACACTCCTGATTAGGCAGCAAGTGGGAGAGAGCTGTGGCTCCCTGGTTGCATGACTGATGCTTGTGCAGTGCAGAAGGGCACTGGGTGTCTCCTGGACAGCAGGTGAAGGCTGGCAGGGCTTGAGCTGGGATGTCATGGTCACAGTCATGGTCTGAATGACTGCAGGAAGAAGTGTGGGCAGTGCCAGCTCATGCTGGGTTCTCTACTGCAGTTTTAGCCCCTCTTGTTCACAAAATGATACCTATTTTCTAAATATTTCCAGGAAATCAGTGCCTTCCTGACCCTGCACGCCTGCTACCCTTGGTCTCATTCTCAGCCTGGGTGGTTATTTTCTGCAGATTGGTTGTTCTTTATAAGACTGAGATCTTTTAAAGGCTCTATAGTTGAAAAGAATATACTACCATTGCAGGGAGACTGCAGATGTGCTTTGAAAAATCCAGCATGCGAAATGAAACACATAAAACACTCATTTCACCACGGTGCTACTGCCTGTCCTGCACCCCACAGCTCTTTGTACCCCTGGCTGGGAACATGTGCTGCCACGTGGCCTGGGGAAAACAGAAAGATGCTTGGCATTGCACGTTTTCTACTCAGCCATTTATTTTAAGTAGGTAGGGATTTGGGGTTTAAGTCATAAGGGTGAGATCTCTGTGGGAGCAGAGTCCAACAGCTCCCTGCTGGAGTGGACCTCGGACCTTCCTTCTGGAGAAGGTGCTGTCACAGTGAGCACACACCAAGGCTGAACCAGGAGGGACGTCCCCTGCTTAAGGCTCCAAAATTTCTCAAAAGAGGGATTGAACTCTGACAATTGTGAGATAAAATGCTGCCTCATGGTGGAAGGATCTGAGAGGGAGGCACCCTCGACTTTCCTGGCCCAGGAGGACAGCAAAAATCCTTGCACGTGCACAGGAATATTCCTCCCATGCTATCAGAACAGCTTCCTCAAAATTTAGGTCTAGCACAATCCAGATTGTGTTCCAGTCGCTGCCTTTCAGCCCTGTGGGAGTCTGTACAATTTTTCTCTTTTTTCCCCCCTCAAAAACAGGCACAGAATGTCTCTTTCCATGCATTTAAGTTCAAGAAAACCTCTGCACCTGTGGGCCCTCTGCCCTTTCCCTCTCCTTCAAACCCCGCAGAAGAACCAGGTTGATGGCTACGCAGAGAATGCACAATTAAATCATCTCAGCCTACACACAAATCCTAGTTCTCCTGTGGATCTTTTTGATGATCAAATTGGGAAGGCAGAGCCCAGTGCTGAATTTCAAAGGCAGCTGGCCTTACATGGCAGCACAGAGAACAAAACCGTGGAGCTTTTCAAGATAAAAAATGATTTTCAATTAATTCCACAGATGTTCAAAAATTTGTGCCCTGGAAAGTCCCTGATAAGATTTAATGCAACATTGATGATCTGGGTTATGTATCTATTGGCAGTTTCAAAATGTAGCTAAAAGATTTTTTCAGAACTAAACATCAAAAATCATTCTTTCTGGAAACATCACTGTTCACTATTTTAGGACTCTGTCCCCCTTCTCAAATCAAATTTGAAAGGAATCAGCAAAATTTCACAAAGGCTTTTTTCACTATCAGCATTGGGGGAACTGAGGTTTGACAAGCTCTTCTCAGCGCTCTTTCATTTTATCTGCTCTTGTATTCATGTTTCAGATTTTGCTCATTGTTTCCATTACATGCTGCTGAACATAGATAAGAAAGTACATGAGGCTACACCAGAGTGTTTGGTATAATTAATTGAGATATCAAAATACAAACCCCTACTTGGACAGCAGATGACTTGAGCTGTCCATACAGATGCCTGGGTGAAGAGGTGCGAGAACTTGGCAGGCACTTATCTAATTTGGGAAGCAGTCTCTTCCTTTCTGTCAAGTCTTCGTTGTTGCCTGTATTTGTCAAGAACAGAAAAAGTGTTTGCTAAAAAGTTAGTGAGGCAGAAACTGAATTTGAATTCAGGACAGTTTTATAGCTTTCATTATTCATTTGGAAACATTCATACAAATTCTATGTAGAGTGATGCCAATAGCCAAGATCATTTCATGATGGATGAAATACTTGAGGTAGAAGTGACAGAATTCCTGATTGTCCTTACCATTTATCCAGAACTGGCTCTTTCTTTCCAGGTGATACTTATGCTCAAGCAAACAGGGCCCAACTCTAAGTAGGGTTTTGCCTTTTAAGGGCCAACCAAACTAAAAGAAATGTTTGCTCAGCTTAGGTGTCATTGAAGTATTTGTTCCACATCACTAAGGTGACTAATGGAAAAGCAATTAAAATAGCTATAAACCAACCCAATTATAAAAAGACACCGAAATGGATGTTTATAATAGAATGTAGAAAAAAAGATTAAAAAAACCCAATCAAATTGCAAGAGGTACATCTCACAATGCTCACTTCAGACAGAACAATTAGTGCAACTTCATAGCTTTTTATATTTTTCCCTGTCTACCCATTTCTTCACCCATTATTAGTGCACTGGTATTGAGACAACATTGGAAATCTGGTAAAAGAATGAAATTAAATGAAATGTTAATTGTATTGGGAACAATATATTCTTAATGGAAGACTTGCTGCCACTGTCTTTCAGTGAAGAGCAGGACTGGAGGGGAGTTACCTGTTTTATTTTTTTCTCTTCTTAAACTGCAGGAGAAGTTCTTTAGTTCTTTTAAAAGGGTTTTTACCTTTAGTACAACACACTATAGTCTAATATCTCACTAGTCTAATATCTCAATTTTGTTTTTCCTTAAAGCTATACCGATGAATTTTAGTAGAGTTCTGGACAAAATTATATTAGTCCAAAGAAGTTGTTTCCCTTCCACAATTTCAAATTGTGAATATGCATCAACACTGCCTACTTCTCTCCTTGTGGTGGTTTCTGTAGACACAAACACTCTTAGCTCACACTGTGCATTTTGAGCTGGCTGACAACCATCCCTGTGATATTGTGGGAGAATCTGCTCTATTATATTTCATGAGCTTTCAGATAATTCTTTGTGAACTTATGATAATTGGTGCTTTTTATGAAAATTATAAAGTAATTTTTGCTCTCTGTACTTCCATTTATCTTTGTTCAATTTAACATGCATTCTTTCTGTGAACTGAAAGAGTTTGTTGATTGATCAAAAACATTTATACCCTTGATCTTGTAAAAATTCCTTTTAAAGGGAATGAGGATGTTTCAGATTCGGGGTCACAGGAGAGAGGAAGGAGGGCTGAGGGATTGTTTTCATAGCAAGAAGACTCAGGGGTCCCTGACAGATCTCAAGTAAAGGCCTTGTTAGATCTGCTAAACAGCTGCTTTATTTTGGCTGTGAGAAGACAAAACCTGAAAAATACCTGACAAAAGGGCTTTGCTTTCCTGTTGGTGTTCATCAGAGCCTACAGCATGGCTTTCCACGGGGTTTTTGGGTGCTCTTTAAGGTTCAAGTCTCTCAAGAGGTGTCACAATGCTTTCCCAAAAGCTAACCCATTCCCCACTTGTCTGGTATCTTTTCACTGTTATTGTTGAAAAATTAAAATATACATTTATTTAAATATTTTATCTTTTATCTTGTCTTATATAAATTTTTTATATAAGAAGTGCCATGCTCAAGGCTTCCTGAAATACCCAAATGCATGAGAAATCATGAGCTTGGACAGGAGGTGACTGCTCTAATGTACCTTCCTATGGAAACGAGACTGTTGCTTTCTCATACTGTTCACCCTAGAACACTTTTTTAAGGTTAATTTAAAATCACCTATATAATACACATTTTCTTTTTTTTTTTTCCTTAACCCCAAGGATTTTGCTTACTGATTTGTCATTATTAAGAAAGTGTTCCTGAATTTCAGCCAAAAACCTTAATTTTGTATACCTCTCGTGTTCAGAAAAGCTGAATGCCAGCTGAGCCAAAAGATCTTTTGGTTATTAATGAAGAGTTTCCAGTTTGGAGCATTAGGCAATTTGTTAGCTTGCAGCAGAGCCACTCACAAGTGGTTTAATTTATCTTGCTGGCAGGCATCCAGTTCAAGGGGGCAACAATATATGCTCCAAAATGAGCAGACAGTCTCCATATGGAACATTATTAGTTATAAAGATGATTTTTGTATCATTTAGATCACTAAAGATGGCTTCCAGTACAGTAATTCCAGAGTGTTGACCCTGTTCGACGCGGTCTGCCAGATCTGCCAATTCCACCCAACCGGACTTTGTAAATTAAAGGTAATTTAGGGATCATAAAGGTTTAATATGGATCGTCCATCTCTTCCTTAGTCCTCTCCCTCCCTTTGATGTACTGTGTGTAATAACTGCTCCAGAAGAGGAAAATCTATTTCCCAGGTCAGCTGCACAGCCTGACACTTTCCTCTTTCACAGTCTCGTGTCTGGGATATTTTATTTCTTTTTCATATTTATGTGGGGTATGAATACCTTGGCATGGCTTGCTTTATGATGGACCACTCTCTCTCACACAGACACTTCCAGAAAGACCATGGTTGACAATATTTATACTTTGCAGCTGTTAGTGGAAGTAAACAAGAGTGAGGAGCGTCCCCTGAAAGGCTTAACTTCACTTTTGAAGTGTTTCTGCTATTTTCCCTCTCCCAGCCTTTTTGGTGAGGGCACTGTAGCTGAAAGGTATATCATTTCTATACCCATTTTCTGCCTTAGCAAGAGGCATACAAAGATGCATGTCATATGGGTTTTGTCATGTGAGAATACCCTTGAGAGAACATAAAGCATTCTTGCTTACATTAAACGCTGCTGAGTACAAACATATAGAATTCTGACAGTTTCAAAACTGCAATCAAAAGTCTAGAGTTACATTTTAAATGGCCAACATGTTAGAAACTGTCTACAGTCACTTAAAAAGAGCTTCCCTGCTCTTATTTTCTAGAGACCTGCATTAAGCAAATTGTCTGATATTCAGTGGGGCTTCAAAAGAAACTTTTGAAAGGTATGAGGTGGGATATTTGAATGTGCTGATCCTGCTTTCCTACCCTGAGGCAAGTATGAATTAATAGGAGACCACCAGTCAGTGTTTTTATAAAATGAAGATTAATCAGGTACATCCTAACTCATTTTCCTCGCTGTTCTCATTAAGGCTAATGGGAAAATAAAGTTTTAAAACCTGCACTGACTGAAAGCACATACCAGTTACCAAAATAAAAAAAAAGTTCACATTTTTTTCAAGTAAATCAGTGAATAGAAATTACTTTAAAGGCCCCTTTACAGGCAGTTTGACCCTGACTGGATGTCAGGTGCCCGCCAAAGCCACTCTGTCACTGCCCTCCTCAGCTGGGGCAAGGGAGAGAAAATGTGATGGGAGGCTCGTGGGGAGAGATAAGGACAGGGAAAAATTACTCATCAGTTACTGTCATGGGCAAAACAGACTTGACTTGGAGAAACTAATTTATCACCAATCAAGCCAGAGTAGGATAATAAAAAAAATAAAAGCAAATCTTAGAACAACCCCACCCCTCCCTTCTTCCCATCTCATCTTCACTCACAGTTTTCTCTCCCTCCTACCCTGCAGGGGTGCAGGGGGATGGGGAATGGGGGCTGCACCAGTTCATCACACCTTCTCTCTGCTGCTCCTTCCTCCTCAGGGGCTGGACTCCTCACACTCTTTCCCTGTTCTACCTGAGTCCTTCTCAAGGGCTGCAGTTCTTCATGAACTGCTCCAGTGTGGCTCCCTCGTGGGGTCACAAGTCCTGCCAGCAAACCTGCTCCAGCTTTCACTTCCAGCAGCTTCTCCCAGAAGCCACCCCTGTAACTTCTGGGCTGCCACACCCTCACCACACAAACCCAGCACAGCCCAAATGAGGGCAAAACCACTTAAATTTCAGATTAAAATAATTGTGCCAGAACCATTTCAATTAAAGATAGGGTGAGGTTTCCTTTTTTCAAAGGCTCTCCTTATTCATACATTTTTGAAACCCAGAAATATATATGGTCTCTCAATATGCTGGTGTTCTCTAGGGATTATAGTAATTTCTATCCTAAAATGCTTCAAGGGACTATTTGAACTAGGCTTCCAATTGCAGCAGACCACATTCTAATTATCCCTCCTTTAACATTACTCTGCAATACCTAAATTGCTTTCAGAAAAGGTGTTTCAATTAGGGGACATTTTATATCAGGCCATTTCACATTCTGTGTTCCTCTTTTATGGAGCCCATTCTCTACCACACTTTCACATCAGAAAAAAAACCCACATCTTTTTTTTTCATCAGAGCATCAAGGTTTTGAAAACAACAATGCAATAAAATCTAATTAATATCCAGGTTTTAATGCTGAAGATCTGTCATTTTCTATCTTGTAGAGGTGATTATGAGAGTCCTCTTTTTGTTTCTCTACTCTCACAGTATTACTTAAAATATTGACTAATACAGTTTGCAGAAGAATTTCGAGACACTAATAAAGGAGTAGACAGAAAACACAAATCCAGTAATGAAACACATATCAGTCCTAGAAAAACAATGTGCATTGAAAGGAAGGAAAAGGAAAAATGTCTGTGGTCCTGGTAGCTTCTCCCTGCTGCTGTCCCACTGTGGCAGGGACATTCCCCTGTTCCCAACAGCACACCAAGGCTTGCTGGGAGTCTGCAAGGTCAGATAAAGTCCCATCTGCCTGTGTACCCAGCACAGGCTACAAGCAAAAGGCATAACTCTACCATAGGACCTTCCTGTGGTGTAGATTTTTAATTAGATCTGTTAATTACATCCCTGTGTTCACTTCTGAGACAACACAAGTGTCTTCACCCCATGTGGAAGGCACAGGGGGTCAGTGGCCCTGGTGGGCACCCTATCTAGGAAAGGACCAAGTCAGCCTGAAAGGCTGCTCTGCCCACAGTTCATAAACTTCTTTGGGGATGTTCTGGCCCATCTTGGCACCATGGATGTGCTCAGCTGTTATTTACAGCTATCTATGGGAATTTAAACTCCAACACGCTTCTTTATTCTGCTTTTATAGCATTGATTTTGAGGAACCTCCAGAAATAACTTACCAGAACAGGATTCTGTTCAAATGGAGCTTTTATCTAGTCTCAGTTTTTGTGAGCCTCATGGAGCTCACCTTTGAGTGATACCTAATACTCATTATACTACCAGTCACAGCTGGAAATAATGATCACATACACTACATGAGTGTGGAAACGGGAAAAGAGTCACATTCTTTGCATTCATCTATGACAAAGTAACACCACATGTTGCCTAAGCTAAAACATTCAAAGCTACAAAGATCTCGAACTGAAACTGGAAAACTTACAGGGCTTGATTTTTTCCCTGTCCGTAGAAAAGCACCAACCTTTAAATTGCTACTCTTTTATTGTTTCACGAGACAAGTGAATTTCTTCTTGTCTCCAGAAATTATTAATTGATAATTTCTTACCTTTCTTATTTATTTTTTTTTTAATTGCTTCCACATCACGCCTATTTTTATTTCCTTTTTTTTCTTTTTTTTTTTTGGTAGGAAGATACTTGCAATATAGATGGACTTTGCTATGGTGAAGGAGAGTCAAGTCCTACCAGTCCTTGTCTTCTCTGTGAACCTGACATTTCTAAGTTCACCTGGTCTGTAAATGAAAGTAAGACAGTTTTTTTCCCTAACTAATAATTTAGAAACACTTGTCTGGGAATTTATGACCCAGTCAATGAAGGACTTCATTCCTTCTTTTGGCTAACACGAATGTATCCCTGTGTAATAAACATGGATGGTTTGAAGTGGGAATAATTGATTGCACCAGAAATACAGACTCCACTTTATGAATTATCAATCTGGGTATGCATCTAGTTCTGTCTGAAACCTAATAAATTCTAAATTAATAAACAAAAATAAGAATTAAATATGATACTCCAGTGCTCCATGAAATGCCCAAGTCTGTCAGCTAAAGGTGATGGGCCCTAAATATCTCTGTCATCATCTTGCAAGTACAAATCTTTAAGGGTACTATTTGGGAAAAACACTGTTTTTAAAACACCAGTGTGTACTTTTGGTACCTGGAAGAATTGCTTCCTTTTCCTGAGCCAAATCCTAAAAAATGCCACACAATAGACCTTGGCTTGGCAGGGAGTCTAAGTGATAGGGATCAGGCACTCATTACCTCCACTGCCACAGAACCTAAAGGCTCATTCTGGAGCCCCTCGAGGCAGGGGTCATGGAGAAGGCTGCCTTTTGAAGCACCTCCCGAAGGCTGAAGACTTAATCATAGTGTTTTCATGGCTACATGTCCAGTGTAAACAACAACCACTGCTTGCTGAATGTTTTACAAATAATCCGTGTTTCCAGCGGCATTATCCTCACAGCCCATCTCCCCTCTTACATGAACACACTTGTATCTGGTCAATGTAAAGATTATATTACTAATTTTATGTAGATCCACGTGTTGGTCCTAGGAAGAGTTTCTCTGCACTTTTATATTCTGTAAACAAAAGCAAATTACAGGAAGGTGTGTGAACGACAGGACCAGTTTGCTTCGTTTGTTTGCAGTTTTATGCTCCTTCAGGGTGACTAGGTCAGCAGGACCCTTCTGGAAGGAGGGGAAGATTGCTCTTGTTCTGGGGGAGTAGCTGAGGATGCTCAGGGGCAGAGGCTCCTAGAGAATGCAGGGTCTGGCAGCAGAAAAGGTGAGAGCTGTGTGGGAGTGGCTGGAGTTCACAGCTCCAGCTTGGGAGACAATGCTGAGGAGAACAGTGAGGACACACCCTCTGCTGAGAGGTGACAGAAAGGCCCTTGAGAAAGTTCAGAAAGGCTCCAAGAGTTTCCAACAACACAAGAAGTCAGAAATTTTCTGAAATAAAGTTTGGAAGCAAGAACACAGTGGGAAGGGAGAGAGTTGTTTGCGAGCCCTTTTAATTCCTGTTCCAGGGTAGCCACTTTGAATTTTCTCTATTGAAAATCACGCTCCTCTAGTTTATATCCTAAAAATTCCAGATTTTGAAATTTAAAACTCTCTGTCTGGAAAAGATGCAGGCAGATCCATCCCAAATGTTGGACAACTAAAAATCCCTTTGGATGTCACTTGGATGAGTAGTTAAAAAGCCTAAGGATAAGTCAGACCTGAAGAAGAGCCTGTACACTCAAAAGCTCTGTGTTTTCCCCCAGAAAAATAGTTAAGTCTAATGAGAGGTATTACCTCTGACTCACAAACCTTACCTCCTTTCTGCCATAGAATCATAGAATCACAGAAAGGTTTGGGTTGGAAGGAAGTAGCAACTCCAGGGATGAGCTGATGCTGATTGTCATATAGACAGTCTCATTACTAACACCTAGACATTTCAATTTTAAAATTCAGAAAATGGTTTAAGAAGGAAAGACTGTATTTGTTTTGAAATTTATAAAGCAAGAAGTGATTTGGGAAATTTGAAACAGATCACCGTTCCCTTTTCATTTATTTCAAAACTTAAAAATATTTAAAAGAAAGGGTTTGTCAGACTTGTCTTGAAAAATGTGCAAACCTTCTTAAAAGTTCTGCAATAATAGGGAGTGTATATATATATGTATTCACTGGATGGCAAAGAAATCTCTGTAGAATTAAAAACACTTCTTCACAGAGTCTTTTCAGAACATCTGATTTTATGTTATTCAGTGCCTACCACTTCTTGTTACCATCCATCCAGTAACACTTATGTGTTTATCTGTAAATGCATACCCAGCATCAATATTTCATTGATTACCTTGGGCAAAGATTTTAAGGGCTCCATGGCTTTAGTGTTTGGGAAATAAAAGGTTTAATGAATAGATGGAAGCTTTCAACAGTTATGCCAGGACAATCTGCTGGACAAGCATTTTAGAAAGCTCTCATAGCACAGCAGCAATAAAGCAGAGACATATTTAAATAATTGCATAATATAAGGCATGCTATGCAAAGCAAAGTTTGATAAAAGGATTTGCACCACAAAAAAACCCCCCTAATGATGACTTCCCATGAGCATAATGCAAGGAGTCCTGATGAGAACACATATACAGTTCATAATTTGAGAGCGTGACTTGAAATTAATCCTCAGTATTAGAAATGCGCTTTAAGTTAAAGATAACTACGGTCAAATTACATTGTGAGAAGATTCCTTTAAATATCAGTACATGTCAATTTGTACTGCTGGTTAAAGTGGAAAAGATGGCTTGAGACTGAGGAGGCCTAGGACATGGAGATGAAATTCCCAGCCCTGCAAAGAGCTGCTGCCACCTCAGGGTACTCATCTGATCTTACTTTTTCTGGATTTCTAATTATAAAATGTAATAATTTTCTCTGCCTTTTCCTCTTTACCTATTCATATTGAAAGTAGCTTTAGGTAGTGTTTATCTTCTGCTGTAAAGTAGCCTTGTACAGTTGGGGTTTTGTCTTCATTGAGGAAATGCTGATTGCTAGAAGTAACAGTGCCAATGGTGACAATGATGCACACTACTGTCACTGGGGATAGAGAATCTCAGCATCACTGGTGTATCTCTGCTGGCACTGAAAAGACAGTTATTCCTGATGAAATGTCCAACTGAATTCATTCAAACTGCTTGGGCTTAATTACTCCTCATGGGTAAAGGCAGAAGAGTCTACTCAATGGGGAAAGTTACAATTTATTTTTCCCCTCCAGTTGCTCACCCAATTCATTTGTCATTCAGCATTTCGAGATTTAATTTCCTTATATTTCAGTGGATGGATGGATAGACAGAATTGTAGATAGATTAAATGTATATGTAGATATAAGAAGTATAATTAATTGAAGTTTTAGTAAGAATTGAGACTTGTGGGAGGTTATAGAAGTCATGTACTATCTCTTCCCATATATCATATAGCACATCAAAATTAATTAAAGTGCAGAACGGGAATAAAAATCAGTGTTGGGCAGGAGAAAAAGAGGAGGAAAAAGCTGTCCTTTTTGGTAAAGCCATTTGCTGCCCCTAACACCCAAATCACTTCCTCCAGCAGCCTCTGGGTATGTTCTGTACCTTTGCTTTGAGAGCACTCCTTCAAAGACCCACTCTGAGAATCTTCACGTGGGAGAAACTGGAATTTATGTAATCCTGGTTTCGTTTTTGCTGTTTAGACAACCTGCCTCCTGTGTTCCAGGCCCCCTCCAGCCAGCTGCTGACATTTATTGGTGAGAATTTTGTTTACCAGCTCATAGCAGTGGATCCAGAAGGGTCAGCCGTGCTATTCATCTTGGAGGCTGGGCCGCGGGATGCCAGGCTCTCTCCTGCTGGCCTTCTTATCTGGAAAGTTGATTCCGAAGAAATGCAGACCTTTGAATTCACCGTGTCAGACGAATGCAATGCACAGAGCAGATACTCCATTGAGGTAAGGAAACGAGCACTTTAAAGGAAAAAAAAAGCAAAACAAACCTGTTTATCATGCCATTGCTTTGGTGCAATTGTCATTATAGCTAATAATTTGTTACTGTCTCGAAAAAACAAGGTTTCAGCTATTTCCTCATAAGTGTATATTATCCAGCACAGCAATAATGATCAATTAATGGAATAAATGTCTCAGAGAACATAGAAACTATATATACAGGGAACAAGAGAGAGTGCTATTGATTGCTGTTTGAAAGAACACTCTTGCAGAGCCTTTTAATGGTTCATTAATCTGCTTTAAAATTCACATTCCGCATTTGGATTGCACAAAAAAGCATATAACATAAAAGATCAAGTTTTAGCTATAAAAGGGAGATTATAACTCATTCTCAATGATATTTTTAGAGGATGTCTTGCTCTTATGTCATTATTCCACACTCTAAGTTTCTTGGCAGAGTTGTGCGTTGCTTTGTCTTTATTGTATAGGCCAACATTAATCCTGTGATGGGATGAGCTCATAGAGCAGGAAGCAGACTCCTGTCATAAGAACAGTTTTGTGAAGAAAAGGTTTTTATTCCTAAAGATTCCTATTTTTGCTCATTCAAACCGCAAATACCAATCTGCTGAGCCCCCCCAGCAAAGGGGGAACTGGAGCCTAGATATGGTTTTAATGGAAACATTTCAAACCAGAACCGTGTTATCTGAGGTGAGACAATGCAGAGCTTTGAAACTGTTGAAATGCAGTTCTTGTACATATATAAAATACAACTATGGATCTCCCTTCCCTGAAGAGAGAGACCAGCTAAGGAATGCCACAGTCATGTTCCTGCCTGGGAGCCATTTGTAAAGTGAAAGAGCAAGGAGGGCAGGCAAGGAAAGAAAAAAGATTTTTCATTTCTTTGAAGAATAAGGAACAAATTCTGCCCTCAGATAATATGTGAAAACTGCTGTTATAGCAAATAAGGTGCGTTTTTTTTTCTTTTTCTTCTTACAAGAAGTCAAAATGTGCCCCTAAATGTTGAAAAAAGAAATCCCTTTGAAGTTAAGCTCTCAGTCAAATAAATAAGTATGTTGAGTATAAGACCATCTATCTAGACAAAGGAAATTGGTTAGAAATAAGTTTCATAACACTGGGTAACATGTTTGCAGAGCAAATCTCTCCCTTCCTAGAGGGTAACAATATACCTCCCAGCTGTGATTATTGAGAGGAATCTTACCTCGACTCCCCTTTGCCTTCCTCAGGTTGGAGTGAAGCCCTGCAGCTGCCTCAATGGTGGAACATGTGTTACTAATATCAAATATAAACCCTGATTCTTTTCTAAAAAAAAAAAAAAAAAGGCTGAAAAGCACCAAGAGAACAAAATGCAGTGAGGCCAAAGAGGTGGATAGAAGATATACAGTGCAAACAGGAATGGAGTAAAAATTTGAGGTGTGAGGAGAAAGAGAAGCATTTGATAGATAAGAGATAAGGAGAAAACATGTCTGTACCTATCATGCAGTTTATAGACACAGCCTCACTGCACTCAGGACAACTGGGAATGATTCACATAGATGAAAAAGCACTTATAGACAGCACATGGGCAAGGACTTCCCTGTGCTCTCCAGACTGGAATTAAACCAGCCTGTAGACTCTCTGCTGCAATAATCTTCTACAACCAGGCTGAACTGAATCACTTCTGGGTCTCACAGAGCACCCACCACCTCCTCAAGCTGGGACCATCACTCCACCTGTTCCTCACATCCCTCACTTCCATCACAACTGATTTTCACATTGGTCTAAACGTGCTTGTCCTGGAGTTTCATGGAAGTTTTTACCTTTTTCTTTTCCAGTTTAGTTCTTCAGGGGGTACAAGGCAAATCTGAACACACAGGACTTAAACAGGATTTCTAAATCTGGCTTAGTTTTGGAGAAGGCCAGGTATTAAACACCCACTCAGGTGGCTGAACAGTCATGGGAAAGTACAGACACTGTGCCATCATCCATTCTTGTCAGAGTCAAATTAGTATCCCACAAGCAAAAGAAGCCAACTGAAACCGTGTTAGAACATCTCTTGGATCAGAACCATTTCAAAAACCGAGTCAGAAAATAACACCTTAAGTTGAGTTCAGATTTCAGTACTTGAACTGGTCCAACACCCTGCTCTGTTCAAATTCATGAGATCCATAATGTTGGCTTCTGCCAGTGATATAGGTTTCAAAAATCAAGTAGAAGTAGCATCAAATGCTCATAATTATTACTGCTTGTAATGGATATATACAGAAGAAACCCAGTTTTAAACAAAAGCAGTGAACAGATTTTACCCAATGGGAAAGGAACCTTTTCTGCCTCTCAACACTTCATTAAACCTTCTTTGTTTTGGTCATGTGGGACTTCAAGCCCAGTTTTCATTACTATAAAATTCCAGCAGAAATGAAAAATAAAAGTCATTCAGAAGTGGAAGTCTAGAAAAATGACCTAAAAGGTCTGTGACACGCAGTCAGTATTGGCTCCAGGTAATGCTACCAAGCAGCCAAAGCCTGATGCTGTCAAAAGTCTTTATGCCACCAGAGGTTACACTGATGCAGGAGCACATAAGCCTAAACATGAAGAATAAAGTTATAAAATGGAAGTTTCAACAAAATATAAAAATTTCTAAACCAACCAAACATATGCAGAATATCTTGAATTCCCCTGGAAATACCATTCCTACGAGGAAAGGGAAATTTGGGAACTTTTTATGGTTAAACACTGGATATAAGAGTTAGATTAAATTAATAAAGAGCAATGTAATTCCATGAGTTAATAACTCCAGTGGACATGCTGTCCTGAGAGACAAGGGCACAGGACACCTTGAGGGCCAGAGAAACACAAGGTTTTCCTGCACCCTTAATTCTTACCAGTAAAATAAAAGTACAATGGTTTTACTGTTGTTTCTGTTCTTCCCAAAAAGCTACAACACAAGCAGCACCAGGAAAAAAAATATGATTGAGTGAAAAAGGAATACATCTTAAAGTTTTAGTAGCAGGTGAAAAATTATAAGCAAGTGGAGTTGAGAGCCAGCTGGGAAGCAGATGATTTTACTTCGGGGCAGGTTCTGTGACAACAATAAAAGCTCATCCTTGATGCTGTGTTTATGCCTCAATTCCCCAGAAAACCATCAATAATCTAATGAGAAAGCAATGTTATACAGCTCAAGTGACAGCACCACTACACCATCAAATCCTTAGAAATGACAGGGAACAGGCAGTAGCAGAAACAAGAAGTTAACTCTTGTGAGATCTTCCCAAACACCCCTGCAAGGGAAGCAGCAATGCAGGAGCACTGGTGTATCTCAGGCAGTGTAAGGGTAGAAAAGGAAATGGGAACAAGGCAGGGGGAAAAGGCATTGTGACCCTATAATTATTACTGCTTTAATTTGCTGTATCTCGAGTGTTCAAAGCTCATTCATTTTTCATCTACAGTGTTAACAAGATAACAAGAATTCCTATTGTTTATTCCTTTGGCCATAGAAAGCAAGAACATCACCCACCCAAGAACAGAACTCATCCTTGAAAACCATCTCAATAAAAAGATTATTCTTTCTTTCCTCAGTGATTAGTATAAAGTTGGGTGTGGGGTGGGGAGAAAGATGGAACACTAATTTCATTTTACTTTTCAGGAAATTAAAGAAAACCGCAGGATCTTTTCATGGTTTTTAATAACCATAGAGCCCCTAAATGAGATTTTCAGTTCCTTTAGAGTCAACTAAATGTGAACATAGTCCAAAAATCTTTCTTTGCATCTGTAGGTGGTCAGCTCCTCTCTCAAGGCATGAAAGGACTTTATCTTCTCAGACAATTTCCTATGTAGGGATGGAGAAATAAAGCTGGCACACAAACAGATGGTTAAACCTTGCAACCTGAAGAACTTCTATTCCTATTATTTTTATTTGTACTGTAGCACTGCCAAAAGAATTGAGATTCCCCTGTGTTACAGTGACTGGAGGTCATGCAAAGAAAATAATTGACACTTCTCAGTGCAGACAGTTTTCTGTCCATTTCTGCTTCTTCTACAGCAATATTCAACAAAGTTTCAGAGTTTGCAAACATTTGCCATTGGACTCATCTGGATTATCATTACACCCAAATTGATCAAACACTCTTTAAAATCAAATCTCTCTGAGTGCAAAGGGGTGCTTGCATAGTTTCACCTTTACATCAGAAAAATCAGCCAAGTGACTGAATTTTTAAAATTATCTTTTTACTTAAGGTGTTCCTTTGCTTTCTGTAATCCTCTCATCTTTGAGATTTGAGAGATAGCCTTTTGCAGCAAAGACAGAGAATGCAGGAGGGAAGAGAAGGAACTGAGGGAGAAATGATGGCTGTTACTGAAATTGGGAACTTCTTTCCTATTCTCATTTTTTATAGTGTCATGTTTAGTCTTTATATGATACTTAGAGAAAGAAAATAATTACTAATCTAATCAGAGGGTAACTCATTCAATATTTTCCATAATGTGGTCTAATAATTTCCCAATGCATCATCAGAAATCAGTATCAGAGAAAAGCAGCCCGATGCCACGAGTGTGCTAATTAAATAATAAAATATAAATACTCAAACAAAATATAACATGGGAGGAAAAAAATTCAGTCAAGCCCTACAATACTACATGATGTCCAGCTTCAGTGAAAGAAGCAAGAAGCATGAGAAATAAGAACAATTTAGATTGAGACAGCACAGGAAAGGGGATGTGACTTTTGCGCTACTGTTCTTTTTTTTTCCCTCAAGACAAAACCAACATGGGAAGGTGATGTCACTGGTTTTTCTAGGCAGCTCAATCAATAAAGAGGCATCAGTTTGAGTTTTCTACATGGAGATGCTATTTTAAGTTGAAAGGAGTAGTGGAAGCTCTCTGAAATGCTGAAGCAATGAGCGATTATGTTGTAGGAGATGAATAACAATGTTCTGTTTTTATCATCCTGTAATTCATTGCACTGTGACAAATGTCTTCTTTGAAGAAAAAAAAAAAGCAATTCCTTTATCCTTAGACCTTTCTTCATGATAAAGCTGGGTATCTGATATGGAACAAAACTTTCTCTACCTCGTGGTATGTCTTGAAGCTGGTACTCACGAAGTTGTCCCCATGTCCTTGTATATTCCTTCAGGGACAAAGGACATGACTTAATAGAAGTGATCTGGGCTAGTTTATGACCTGCTATCAGGGCTGCATATCCTGTAACTAACAATAGCCAAGAAAGTTTGCTCAAGTGCACAGAGACAGCAGCAAGCACACCCTAAGCCTGAGGGAGTTTTTATGTGATTGCTCTGCATCATTTGCTGTTCAGATAGTATTTTTAACTTTTGGGTCACCTTCCCCTACAGGTATTCACTAAATCGTCCAAAGTTGTGAATTTTAATATCAGTTCCCTATTTCCAAAATCAGCAATAATCAAGAGATAGTGTTTGGGGTTCAGATCCTATGGCAGCTTGTCCTCTAAACACCAGTACTATGGCTCAGTGACATTTTCAGAATGTTTGTTCAGATTTTAATTTTAAATATTAAAAACTTGGGTTTTCTTTAAAGAATCCCATGATTTTTAAGGTTTCTCCTCAGCCAGACTCTATCAGATTGGTTCACAATAATCTATTAGTTATGTGGGGTTCATATTGAAATGGAAAGCACAGCTATGTCAGTACATGGCTCTCCATATCTTAAAGCCAAAATGGTGACACTCATTGGCTTCTTTAGTATATGACAGACAAGACAACAAAAGCAGAAGCAAAGATGTGAAATGCAGGAGAAATATTAATTTTATTTATGTGCATTTTTATTTAACATGCACAGCTTTCTATGAGCAGCAGTCTCAGGCTCAGCACTTCTGATGGCAGTAACGACAGTAATAAACACAGTGATGAAAGCAGGTTTAAGTGAGACAGTGGGGAATTTGGCTGGAACATGAGTGACATGCCCTGTAATGAGTTTACAGCTGAGAAGTGAGCCTTCATCTGCTTCAACATTTGAGCTGAAGTATAAACAGGGAATCTTTCCTGATTATTAACTTCCCCTTTGTTTTGCCACAGGGCTTACTTGTCAAGAAGACAGGAACGAGTGTGAAGAGAGTCTTTGTTTTCCTGGAGTGTCTTGTATGAATACCTTTGGATCTTATGCATGTGGAATTTGCCCCAGTGGGATGGAGGGAAATGGTAAAACTTGCAAATGTGAGTGTTTTACATGATTTATTTTAATAGATGGAGGGAATATGGGTTCAATTCTACTACTATTTATTATTGTTAATAAAGTATTTTGCCACTCATTTCAAGTTCAGACCTCCAAATATACAAGACAGACTATTGTCATGTTATATTAATATAGTTATTTGCAAATTGGTCTCTGCTACTTTTCATTTTGGTTAGAATGAACCCCACAGTACGCAAAAAAGCATTTTCCAGATGCCAGCTAGATAATTTGCCAAGGACTTTCCAGATGTTCTACTCTATTTCACTCCTAAATATACGATCTACTAACAAGTACCTGGGGAGCACCCTGAGATGGATTTTGCTTTGGGTGAATGGTGGATGGAGGGTGAGAGAAAGTAGGTCCACATGCCAATCCTTCCCATCCTTTCACCTCTGTTTCCAAGGTGTGCTTCCATTAGAGGACACAGCCCACAGATGCTTAGCATGAAGTCATTCCACAGATCCCAAGTAGTGAAGAAAACAGCCAGGAACAATTTTAGACATGCTCCATATTTGCTTTTAGAGCAACAGAGTCGTTAATGGGGAAACACAGTGACTTCCCAGTGCACTTGATGTGATTTACACACGCTCCACTTGTTTCAGTCATAGAGACATGAGTCTTCTCCAAAAAATAATTATTTTTTGGCCAGAAGGAGAGAAAAAACACACTTGAAATATTTGTATTTATTTGTTTGTTGGTATTTCCAAAGAAAGCCAAGAAGCAAAAGGTAAAGATATTCACTGTGGAGATATCGGCATTTCCTCATATTGACTAATGAAATGAAAATAAAAATATCCTCTGCAAAGAGACTGATTTGTAACTACAGGACCCTGGCACCAGCAGAACTGCCTTTCCCTGATTTACCAAATCTCTCTTCAGTCATATTGCCAAACGTCTGTATTGAATGTTTTCTTTGGCCACACTGGTTATTTCAAAGTGATTTTGCATCTGTTTCACTAATGTATATTTTTGTGGGTAATTTCACCAGTGCAGGAAGGATATGCAAAATAATGTGCTTTTGATAAATATAAAAAAGTAATTTCTTACTCTGTATTTTTTAATTACAGGAAAAAAATCTACTTTGGAAATGCACATTTATCAGAAGGAATAAACCTGAGTGCTTCCTTGTCCACCCAAGATAGGACAGAAATCATTATTTGTAGTTCTGATACACAGATTTAACATTCCTGCTCATACTTCCCTTGCCTAAGCAAATATAAAGGCTTCTGGGAGGAAGGAAGAGAAAACTGAAGTAATTTTATAGCTCTTAGAGTGAACAACAGCTCATTGCATTGTTTAACACATGTAAAGAGTCAGAGCTTTACTAAGAGTAGAGAATATTCAAGAGACCCAGGGCAATTCAACTTTCAACACTATCCATGTAGACTTTATCCTTAATTTATGCAAGAAATTACTTTAAGATTATGCAAAAAATAACATTTTTGACAGTCTCCACCAACCATTTTTCCTCATTACATCCACATATACTTACAAAGTTTTCAGCTGAGCTAACTGAAGCCAACAAACACACACAATATAACATCAGACAAGCTTTCAAGGAGAGGTAGGAACCAGTCAGAGCACAGGTGTGCTCTGTAGCATCCTCATCCAAGCAACAGTGCTGTCAAATACTGGCTGACCTGAGGCTTTCTAAGTATCCTGAGCTCAATAAAAGATCACTGTGCATATTAAGTAAGTCTCCCAGATAAGCAAAGTTCAGTGAGCTTGGGCATAATAATTTTTCCTGTATTTGTGTTGAAGCTTTGCTGCTGTGTGTCAGCAGCTGACTCACCTGATTTGCCTTTATTTGCTTGATGGTTGGCTTCCAGAGTAAACTTATGCCAGGTTACCTGATTTGCTGTTGCTTTTTATCATCAATCACAGCTAAGCCCTAACACCTTGTTTCCTTGTCTCCCTGATGTCTTTTCACAGCTGTGCTTGATGCTGATGTTACAAAACCTTCAAGCAATGGCAAAGGTGAATTGAACAGGACTGAGGTTAAGCAGCCACTGCAGTCCTTAGAGGCGAAGGATTCTCCTGCAATTAAGAATTTTAACATAAGTGATAGACGTGGTAGGTAAACAGGGATATGAAAGCACTTTTTCTCTAGCTGTTTATGATACAACATGGAAAATTGGAGTTAAAAATAAAAACCCTCCTAATACACCAGACTGAGGATTGCAGCTAAACAATTCTTACAGCAATAGCGATCAGAATGGCCAGGTTTAATTAGAAGTCACATCACTTCTAAGGTAGAACAAAACCACTCCAAATTTTACTGGTCACTGGGAAGCAAGATGATGAGTGACAGCTTATGCCAGCTTGCCATAGCCAAGTGATGCTGGTATTTCAGTGTGTAGTGAGCACTTACTGAATTAATAATTTTGAGCACAAGTGAAGGTGGACTTGATGTATGAACTTGACTGTGACAATGGCTTTTCCCAGAAGGGGAGCTCTACAACACTCCATAAACATGGGTGTGCACCTGCACAATCTTTATGATGGCCCTGTTCTAATGAGTGTTGCAAGTTTAATTGATTTTCTAGTGAAAGCAGGCAGCAAAAAAATATCTGCTGTGTAGAGGCATATGTAAAATAAAACATTTTGTTTCTTACCTTCTTTTTTTTTTGAATATCTGTACCAGGCCAGTCAACACCTAACCAGACCTTGCCTCCTGCAGGTATCCTATATCATAGTGCTGCAGGTGAGGTGCAAGAATAATGCAGAAAATACTTGAGAATCGTGATGGAGACCTCACTGGAGGCAATTAAAAAAGATCTATAACCATCATTAAGATTGTATTCATCATCTGTTCTGTGTCTTGACACTGTTAAATACTTCACAGGCAGTTCATATACACTTGCTATTCAGTGACATCATAAGAGATAAAATATTATATACTACCAGAGTGTTAAATTTTGCACACAGTTCTAAGATAATTAAAGCAGTTTCCTGTAATACAAGGTTTGATCCATGAGGGATGATTTCTAGATCAGAAACATATGTACTTGACAGTGTAATTTTAAAAGTAGGGTGTAGGTGCTGTAAAGTTTGATAATTACCTTCCAATTACAGAAGACCAAAAAGATGTCAAATAATACAGATTCTCACTCAGTTAATCTTTCACTTATGCTGAAAATTACACTTTCTATATTGTACATGATAAATGCCAAACAACTTTGAGTAATAAACTTGAAAACATGTAATTAGAGGACTAATAAATCTTGCTTTAATGAGAAACAGCTGTTCTGTTCCACTGTGCCCACAGGACATTCTCATGTTTGGCTCAAGGTTTGGGAACATTTTGCATTAATTAGACTTTAAAAGAATAAAAACAGTTGTAAAGCTTTAGCTGGGCTCAGGCATTCGCTGCTAAGTTTTATACATGTGTTTCATTTGAGAAATTATTAAACATGCTTGAACCCACTTTTTTTTTTTTTTTTCTTTAATTTCTCTTTTGGGCCATGCAGCACCACTGTCACACGTCACCACCTGTACCAACAGGCCATGTTTTCCTGGAGTGCTGTGCTTTGATCGGAAACCCCCTTACGTTGGATACGTCTGCGGCCGATGTCCAGCGGGGCTTTTTGGGAATGGTCGAGTCTGTACCAAAGTCCCCAGACCAGGTACTTTCAATCTTTTAGAATTTTAAAAATGTTTTGCATACAAAGGCTGTAAGAAAGTATGAACTGGTATGGCATTACAACAGCACCGTACTCTGTAATCCAACGCTGAAGGCTGTGTTCTTTCACTCTTAGCTGACGAGCAGCTGGCAGGTCTTATTTCAGGAATACCTGGCTCTATGAGTTGAAATTCAACAGATTAACCACCTCATTTGCTACTAGGGGGAATTCTTCACAACAGGACTTGCTCAGTGGTATGAATCACCACATCTGTATTTCTGCCACCGTGCTGGCAGAGGACTTCAGAACACCTTTCCTCCTCAGTAAGATCAGAACATGACACATGCCAGTACCACTACTCTTTTGTTTTTCCTAATTCTTTTGCTGCAAGGCATGTGTTCTGCAAGGTGACCTGTGAGGACGATGATAAACAAAGTGTTATGCAAGAACAACTGTACTAACAACTGAAGGCAATAGATAATTAAAGCATTTCAATAGTATTGTTTAAAGCCTGAGCAATAATCTTCCTTGGGGAGCTCTGAAACTCAGCTGGTCCCATTAATCTCTGAGGACCGATCATTAGAGGAGGTCTTCTGCTTTGATAAAAGAAAAGCTGGGTCTTGACCTCAGGCAGAAAGTGACAATGGCATAGCAACCACTCATCAGTCTTCTGATCCTGCTCCCTCTCAATGATATTCTCATAATTCAATGTGTGGTTCTCCAGGGACAGTCTGGATGGTTGTTCTCTTTTTGCTGCACAGAGAGTGATCTGCCAGGAGAACTCATGTTTATTCCTTAACAGCAGTAGTTGCTAGGTCAGATTCCTTGGTTTGCTTCTAAATCTTTTTCTTAAGTATTCAAGACAGACTGACTTGAAACCTGTCAAGTTGTTCCCTGACCTCCTACACTTGACCAACCCACCTCATTCCCCATTCTGTATCCAAATCAATGAGTGTTACCTTGGTATTGTATTTTAGCACACTCTATCAAAGTGGAAGCAATTTTACTGCTTAATGTAAGTATCATCCAATCTCTTTGAACTCTAAATTGATTTTAGCCAGTTCTCCGAATCTAAAGGTCACAAAAATAAACTCAACATTTTTCTTTCTCTAGCTATGAGTATGTACAAAGTATTTCTCAGTCTGCCAGCATCACTAAGGCAGCTATTGACTCTTCTATATCTTGGGGAAGCTGTAAAAGTGGTTGAGGAAAAAGGAAATCATTGTGCATATAAATAACTTTTCTGTTATTGCCCAAAGCTGCACCTTGTTGTTAATGGGATAATGGGATACACACTGTACACCCCAGAGGTCTTTAAATGCTGTTGAGTAGAACAGATATTTTGCAGCTGTAGGTATTGGTACAGTAAATCAGGCACACTTACCTAGTGCTTATACAAATGTTAACCAATAAATTTGTCTATGTTCTAAAAAGGGAAATGCAGACAGTAGCTGCCATTTGTTGTGATTCATACAGGTCATATACAACTCCAGGCAAGATTTAAGAAACATCCCAAGTATCAGGATCTGAAACTAGTCAATGCTTACTTCAAAAGTGAGCTGTGTATCAGGGGCTGAGGGGGGGTTGTTTGACATTTTTCTCTCAAATAAGCAAACTGAGTCAGAATATCATGGTGATGTGGCCATTCTACCACCTTGAGCACCTCAGGAAGGGAATGGAGAGGAATTACTTTTTGTTCCATCAGAAGCTTATACTGACTCCTGTGAATTGTATCACAATGTAAACAATGAGAATTTTGCGCCTCAAGGTTAAATGAGAGTAGTCATTTGTTTTAATACTTAGAAATGAAAGCAATTGCTGCAGCTGTGTGAGTGTCCTAATTTATGGCCAAAATGATTGGTTTACCTTTCCTTCCCATGTGCTTTGGCACTTGAATTAGAAGTACTGTGTAGCATTGATGATTAAAAGATATCAGACAAAAAAAGAATTAACTTTCAATTAAATTTTTGTAAGTTGTGGATTATGATTATTTTTAAATCTTCCCTGTTAGAATAATAGCTTCTCTCCTTGTAACTTACGATGTCAGTGTTCAAATGAAACAGAATAAATCCTCTTCAGCTTGCTACAGTGCTTGTGAAAGTACTTGGATTATGTGCCACTTCTTTTAAACTCTAGTAATTTTAATCTAAAAATACTCCCGCTAATCCCTATTTTGTACTTTTATTGGCTGCTTTTGACATGAAATTATACTCAATTGGAGTGATTTAAGGATTAAAGGATAAGTATTTCTTCATACTGAAACCACAAAAATTACCCAACTGCCTTTGTAGGCTCTACTGAGGAGAAAAATATGCCAGAAGAAAATTGTTTCCTAAGTCAGTATTTGATGAGCTGCATCCAAAAAGTCCTTCAATTTTGATTTATAATCAAAAAAGTAACATTTCCACAGCATTGATATGTGATGGGTATTCATCTTTTGAAGTACTTGACTTACTGCAAACTATGTAACTTCACGAATAAGTTCCTGAGCTATATTTACCTGCTCTGCCAACAATGCAGGGCCTCATTCTGTTCTCTCTTACATATTTTACCTGACTTATATCAGTAGTTGGTACCACTTTAAATTGACCAAACTTGGTTGCAATTTTTCCTGAAGAACATCAGAATAGTCTTAAGGAAAAGCCAGTATGGAATTTCATATGTACAGAGAAATTATTATTTTTTTAAAACAGATTCTCCTATCAGAGACAAAAAGCTATTTCTTTCCCTTCAAAATCCATCAGGCATGTATCCTAAATTTATTTTAAAATGTACTAGGAGGATCAAAAGTCCCTTAAGTCTGCTGGCATTGCAATAAAGAGGAAAGTCTAAGGAATTTAAATCTGTCCAGGCTTCCCTGGGCACATTTCACGTTTGTGTAAAATATCTGTTACCTTTTTGCTGGAGGAGGCAGGTCTATTAAATCAAACCATGCAGTATCATTGGTCATATTCTTGACACAAAGAAAATGAATATATCCTAATGGGGGGTGTTGGGGATGTTCCTGCACGTTGCAGTATTAGTTCTCATCACACACTACGGGTATTTCTCTAGACTGCTTTCATCACTCACAGTCACAGAGATACCCATCTGTTTGCACTTTCTTTAGCAGGTTAGAGAGGTTGGTGTCATCACAAAGGATTTATTTTTTTCCTATTAGTAAATCAGCAATTTTACTTGACAAAGCAGTGCCACATCCATCACAGATAAAAGATTGTTTGTTCAGAGCCAGCTCTTTCTGCCTCTCCTGGTTTAGGGAGCTCAAGATCAAGGGAGAGGATGATTTTATGATCTCTGTAATCGAGTTCTGCTTTTCCATTCTGAACACCACTGCAAGATCTCCTGTCATAGCAGTTAATTTGCAGTATTGTAGACATTTGGCACTTGCTATATTTTGTGTGTGGCAGCTATTTGTTATGTTTACATGCTCTGTGCTTTACACTCCAGTATCTGCCTGAATTCACTTTGATTTTACATCAGAGAGACCTCTGTCACCTTCTCATTTGCACCGCTGTCAGATCAACATCAAGGTGTGGATTTAAAAGGAGAATAAAACATTTTGAAGTAAAAGAAAGTGTGTGTGTTTAAACCCATAGTGCTCAGTCAAACACCAGAGGAACGTATTAACCTTAAGTTTTACATTCCTAAATTTTAACTGGGAAATCACCCCTGTCATTATTAGCACTCATAGTTGATCACACTCCATGAAAAATAAATAACTCCAGTAAGAGCTTTGGTCGCCAAATCAAGGTTTCATCTCTGGAGTTAAGTGCAGGAGTAGGGACCTCTTGCTGCCTGGAACCAATGAAATGATTTTGCTTCAAGACATGACTGAAGAACATAATGGACTCCTTTCATCTCTCATCTAACAGAATTGATGAATTTGCATTAAAAAGATCAAGGCCCAGATTCCAGTCTCACTTACACCAGTGTAAATCATAAGAGACTCCATGAATGAATAGCATTATCCTAATGGACTGAGCTGAGCAGCGTTCCTGGGAGACACCACTTAAAACCTGTTAAGGTAGGCACAGCCCACACAGAACTTTTAAACATGGAATCTGATAAAATGCACACACTGTTCAGCACTCAGAGGGTGCTTTGCAATGGTAACCAACCCATCCTGACACGGTTTATGCAATGAGTTGCAAGGCTTACTTGAAGGTGGGGATGTTTCGATGCTGCAGCCATTAGCTGTGAAGTTGCCTGAGCTTCTCGCAAAGAAGGCATAACAGAAATACCAAATAAATAGTAAATGATACTGTGATTTGCCTCTGGGTGAGGCAAATAGCTCTCAGCTCTTCTTGCAGGCTCCAAACCCAGGAAGTATTGCATCTCAATGGCTTCCAGCTCTTAGCTCTGACTCAGGGCATGGAAACTTTGCCCACAACTCGTCTTTGGAATGCATTGTGAAAGTGTCCAATGCCTTTCATAAACTGTGCTTCTAGTTGGTGTATATCATGACAAAATGTTCTTTTTTTTCTCTTTTTTTGGCCAGTTATGATGTAATGACGTGTCTTTCAAGGAGTATGTGATGAAATGGCAACTGAAGTGGGGTTAGAAATGCCACACAAAGGCATTCCATATAAATTTGGTGTCATGAATGGCACAGTTTTGCAAATGGTATACCAGTAATCTTCACATGAGGCCAGGATCAGCCTGACATTTTGGACATAAGCTCTGACCCTTTGCTGCCCTTTGAGTCTGTAATTGCCACTGAAAATTCACTCCTGTACTTGTCAAGACAGAAAGGGGATTGGAGAGTCTTTCTGATGGTTTTCTCCTCCTTAGGGATACCTATTAAAAATATTAAGCATTTTCAGAAAAAATATCAACAGAGGCCTGTACAGTATATGCTATGACCCAAACATAACAACCAAAGCAGGCACAGTGGGAAGAATATGTTTAGATAATTTAAAAGATAAACGGTTTCCAACTTCACTGATCCATACGCTCTGTCAATCCAGAACTCGTTAAGTGCTTCCAATACAGATGATATATTTAGGAAATGATGTAGCTCAGCAATAGAAGACCAATGAAGCCCAAGCCATAAAACCACTAGGGAAGAGGTCTCAGCTATATGCCATGAATAATATTTACATTCAATCAGAACATCAAGTACAGATTACATTTCTCTCCTACCAAGAATGTGCCACCTTTTGCTTAAGCAATCACTGTGCCATCATGGCTTTTAAGTGATAATAACAACTCAGTCTCCAACAAATAATCTGCGTAGGACACGGGCCCAGTAGTTTTTTACATTGACAGAGCAGAGAGCAAGATTATCCTCTCTTAGAATTTCCAGGCTCATTTAATCATCCAGCTATAATAGCACACAGCTTTTAAAGAGAGCCAATCCTGTTTGCACAAATTTGACAAGATTGCTGTTTTGTTAAAGGCACTTAGAAGCCCTTTAAGACTGTAAGTAACTCATACTGGACCAATATCCTGGCCCCATTAAAGCAGCACAAGAGCTTTGCCACTAACAGATAAAGCAAAGCAGGAGCTGAAGAAAAAGGATTCGTAAGCAATGTAAAGGACAGTCCAGTGTAGGGGGGTAAAAAGAGGTGTGAAATACACAGATTTACCCCTGCTCAGGGCAAATTTAGGGCTAGTTTTATAATATCTCGCTGTTGTCTATGAAGAGGTACCTAGAGATGTAGTGGCACCCACTTCACAGGGCTTTCCTGCAGAATCAGGTGATGTTCACAGCCAAACCATGTGAATTTTGCCCCCAATATTACATGTCACATGAATAGAGCTGGTTTATTTCTGAAGGAGTACAGCAACAGCCTAAAGCTAAGACAAGCAACTGATCCTCTGGGATGCAGGAGGAAATGATCTCTCATGCTGATAATATATTAGATTTAGAATTTCATAGAATAGCAATGTTGGGAGGGATCTCAGAAGGTCATCTGGTCCAAGCTTTGTTTCCTCAGAGAACTACCTTCTCAGAGAACTTCTGTGACATGCCATCTGAAAACTTATTATTGAAATTCCTTACTTTTTGTTTTCTAAGTTAGGAAGAAACTATAGATAGTCATTAACCTAATCAGTTGAAGTTGTGGAGAATTCCATTATAGCACGATTTCACTGAGAGTTTTTATGTGTGCTTATATGATATTAAAATAGATTCATTACTGATTCCCAGTAAGGCATAGTTTGGTTTGTTTCTTGGCTTTCATATGTAAAATAATTCATTTTTATGTGTTTACAGCCCACAACAACATAATTATAGTTTTGGACCATTTATTTCTTGAATTGAATAAAAGGAGAATTTCAGTAAAATATTCAAATTTAAACTATTTTTTCCTTGAAGAAATATTATGGCTCTTCTTTTGAAGAAATGTTATGAACTTACTTTATAATCTATTATTACTGTTCTAAAGGATTCTACATAGATATTTCAGGGAATTAGACAGGGATACTTCAGAGACAATCTACCTTGATTTAGTCTACTTTGTATATATCTATCAACCTGTTCAAGCCATGAGAGAGTCTGGAGGCCCATGAGGAATCATCAGATAAGAACACAGTTTCTATTAATTTTTCCATCTATCACAGTGCTGAGAAGTAAAATATACTGTCAATTCCTGAATAGAAAATATAATTTACTCTTATGAACTCTATCTTAATGCCACCTTTGTAGCTGCTGAAATAATACAGTTTCAGGCTCAAATAATTGGAGAAGGTAGAACACAAAGAGGAGAGATTAAAGTTCAGCCCTGCGAGATGGACAAGGGATAATGAAAGAAAGGATGATAAACATTTACGTGGGGATTAAGCGGATGATCCGATCCGTGGTGTTTTGAAACACGACCACGCTTCTCCTTCACTTCCTGTTTTGTTGGCTGGATATTCAGAGAAAAGCTCAGAAAGGGCACTTCTGAAAACAGCAGCAGAGAAGGGGTTAGACCCAAGGAATGGAAAGAGCACGGAAGGAGATCTAACAACAAAGGAGTGAGGGGAGCACGGCTCCTGCTCGAGGGGTCAGAGCGCTTCAAGCATTTTGAGTTTTTCCAAGCCCCAGGAGAGAACTTTTCAATTAAATCTGGAAATAAACGGGAAGGTAGGAGAGGTGTTTGAGAAAACATTGTTTGTTTGTAAAAATATAACAGGTTTATAAATCTCCATACACAATACAAAAAAAAAGATACTGATAAAGGAAATTATTGATAGAGAAGGGAAAAAAATCCTGTTTGGGGAGTATGCTCATATCTTTGCAATCACTAATTCTTTCAGTATTTTTAAAAACACTGTCTCTGGTGATCCTGATGTTAAAATTTCTATTGAAAACTTACAGAAAAGATAACAAAAGAAGTAAAGAAAAAACTCCAACAAACACAGTCTGCAAACAAAGTGCACAGAACACATTCTTTTCCTCAAAGACCCGTTTTTCTGTACAGCTGTCATTGTGTTCATCATCTTCTTGTACCATTCCTTCACTTCGACTGGATATGATGCCCAAGAATCTTACTAACCAAAAGCTGATGGATACCTCCTTGGAAAGCAGAACCACATATAATAGGTGAAAATGTTGTGTGTTAGGATGAATATCATATTAAAACTACTCTATTAGTTTCAGACTTGAGAGTCATTCTAGGACTTCATCTCACAACCTGCTACTACTATTATCTACTTAGGACCCTTAAAAAGTAGCCAATCATTTAAAGTCTGTGAGAAACCTAGCTGAAGTGAATATAAATTCAGGCAGTATTAGTGCCCCCTCTTTTCTCCTCCTAGTCTTTTCTTTCACTTAATCATCACAACCAATCTTCAATTAATATTCTCTATCTCTTAACCTTCACAAAAGGTTTTTGTTCCTTAAACTCCAAATCGTAATTCCTCATATTCCCTACAAGAAAAGAGCTATACCTCAGAAAATCTTTCTAAGGCACTGTTTTTGTACTTGTTCAGTATGAAAGGGGTTGTCTTTATGTCTCTTTGACACAGCTTCGATAAGACCGAAAACGTTCTCTGGCGTGTAGTCGGTTATGTCATTTTTATGTTTGTGAATTGTTTACCTCCTTACCAACCATCTCAGAATCCCTGTTTTCTTTAAAGTACATCAGTTCATGAATTGAGATGTCAATTATATTCAGAAAACCTTGAGGCAAACAAACTGCACAGTGATGCAAAATAATACAGAAGACTTTTAATGGGATATAAGCAAACACACTATCTCATATTGAGGTAATATTTTCTTGAATACTCACATAGGACTTCAGCATCCCAGAACTGGAAAAGGACCTCCTTGATGGCAGAGTTTAGATCCCATTTGTGGAAATCATTTGCTCTGAACACAGAGATACTCATAAACAAGGTTTAGTGGGTGAGCTGACTGAAGATCCCAGGTTTTCTCCTCCACAAAAGTGTTGTGTTACAGCAGAATGTATTTCATAGACACAAAACAAATTTGCCTTGCAAATTATGAATGGTGTTACAGAATTGTGCATGTGCAGCTGCAGCCAGATTGACAAACAAGAGCCTGAAGCAGAGGAATAGTTATAATCAGAAGTGGCTGAGTGATGCAGACTCCATAGACTATTCCCCATGGCTCACGATTTTGGTAGGTTAAGGGGAAGAAAATTGCTCACCAGATAGCAACATCAGCAACACAATCTCATTTTCTATCAGGCTGAAACAGCTCGGGGACAATGAACTAGATGTTCACCTTTTAATTTCGTCATTAAAACATCAAGTGAGTAAATTTACCCATCACAGAAGTGGTGGTTTGAGAGCACAGATTTTACAGAGACTGAATACACATGTGCACATGGATACAGAGTCAGTGCTGACCTGTCTGGATGTGAGGCATGGCAGGTGCCTGGCTCTTTGAGCCCAGCACGAGCTAAATAGCCTGGCTGGCTCTCTCTGTCTGCCTGTGCAGAGCCAATGGCTTTCACAGAGCTCCACATTGTTTTCTGCTTTCTGAATCACAGATTTGGGCATCTCTTATATAAGAGTTATTGCTTATATTCTCTATTTCCACATCTTTCAAAGTGGGGCTTAATTTTTTTCCTGTGCCTACTTCCAGTGTGTTGTGTCTTCCTGAAGACTTCTATAACACATTTCAATTTTCAATTTTTTAGATAAAAAAACGGTAAAGGATCATTAGGTTTAAACTTAATCTCCTTTCTAAATTTATACTAATATCCCAGTCACAATGAGTCTTTGAAATCCTTTTGTTTCTACAAATATAATCCTGGAAGTAAAGCCTTTGTAAAAATTGGGAAGTCAAAACTGTACCTCACTTACAGAGGAACTGAGGAATTTATTCTGGGAGTTGCTGTTTGTGATTGTAAGAGAAGATACAGCGACTGGGAAGCCCAACCAACACCTAATGTGGGGAACTTCTGGATGCTTAAGAGGAAAGGAGAGAGCATCAAAGCTATATTACTGCATGTTTGGGGGAGGGAAAATATTAGGATAGGTTTGGATAGCTAAACAGAAGATTTAGGGATTAAACATGCTCTGACTAGAGAAGAAAGCAATTCCTGAACTTAGTAATATTAAAGGGCAGATTAGGAATCGAGGTAAAAACAGAATTTCCCTGGAGCTCTTATTGACAGCTGCTCTGTTTTCCCTTTCTCACCGAGTAAATGCAGAAAAAAACATTAACATGGAAACATACAGAAAGAAATGGGAAGGTCCTTAATTCTTAGATCAGTGCAATTTTCTATTCTCTCTTGACATTTTAAATAAGATTTATGTGCCGGTAGATGTTTCAAATTTTAAATGATGACCCACATTGTGTAATATGTCAAAAGAGCCTTTCTCTTTCGACACACTTCTGAGTGAGAAATGTGCTGGACAGCAGGTACTACTAAATGTTAATAGCTCTAAAACTACACAAATTGTAAATTTATAGAATTGTGTTAATAATGAATTCTTAAACTATTCACAGAATTCTGAAGCAGCTGTAGCTTGAGCAGAATTAAAGGTGCCCATAATCCTCTGAAGTGAGAGGCAGAAGTGGCCAGAGCCAGAGGAGCTTGCTAAGGAGAAGGAACCAGTCTCCACCTGAAGGATACTGGTTTGAGGCATTTTATCAGATTAAAAGAGAGACAAGCACTTGAGATTACATTGCAATGTTTATAGAGTCTCAGTCATGTCATTACATCTAAAAAAAGTTACGCTCACTTTTAAGAACCAAAAGGGAAGTTTCTGACTCTAAGCTGTGAAGAGAAGGGTGACAATGAAAAGATAATAAATACTGATGTCTGCAGGAAGTTTAAAGCAAGTGTTTGAGGTATCAGCTGCTAGTTTGGGTCAGGATGGGGCTGTGTCCCAGGCACATGGCTTAGGTAGAAAGGTGTGAAGGTGCATAAGTCTTAGACCAACAAAGACTCTGGTGAACAGCACCAAGGAATATGGGAGCCAACCTGCTGCACCCTGTCCTAGGCAGAGGGTGAAATGTGTGCTGTTTCACTGGGAACAGAAATATCTGGGTTCAGAAGGGGATGTGATTTCTCATAATTCAAGTATTCAAATCTGAATTCTCATAATTCAAGTATTCAAATCTGGATCTGACCTTTTTCTGAATGGTTGTAAGTGCAAATTAAAAACAAACAAACCAACCAAAAAAATCAGGAGAGAAAAATTATATTGGATTTATTCTCTGTGTTTCAGAATGTTGATGTCTCAACCTGTGTTTGAGAGATGTCGAGTGCCTTCTCTGTTTGTAAATGACTGTTTTCAGCAGGTTAAGTAGTCATTTCATTCCCTTTGCAATGAACATGATCCTCTTCAGTAGTTCTTTAGCAGTTCCCTATAAAATGCAATTCAAGGGAGAGAAGAAGTCAGAATTTGCTGTGCCTTAGAAACACCGTGATGGCACTGGCAAACATGAACCAGAGACTGGTTGTGACAGTTCTGATTTGTGAGCTTGGTGTGAGTGGCACAAAACATCTGAAACACTGGGCAAACCAACGCCTGGAGGGTCACATGGATGGGAAGTGTCCCGGTGTCGAGTTGGATGAGGGATGTTAAACCTGTGTCTCAGAAATTTGCCCTCTGCCACCCCTGTTCTAATTTTCCCCAGATAGGAGATGACAGAGGAATCTGTCCTGGGGCCTGAGCCATCCCAGCATTGCTCTGTGCTCGCAGTGGTGTAGCTCCATCAATATGAATAGAGGTCCTGCCATGCACAGCAGGGGCAAAGCAGCCAGGTTCTTGGTCTCTTAACTACCTCCATGAAAAATAAACTCAGTTATCCCACTGCTGCACATTTTCCTGTTACTATAGTCAGAAATACTGACAGGTAGTGAAAATGTGTTTTTGTTTCGTCATATAACCTTGAGCACTTTGCCTTGTCATTTTTTTTTTTTTGTTATTTTCATCCAATCCAATATGTTGGCATCACAGGGAAAAACAGATTCACACACTCTGCATTGATAATGGGTTATACATTTGAAGATATTGATCAACATCAGGGAAAGTAAATTGAAGTAATACAGGATTTGAGAAAGTTGCTGACTACAGACAACTGGTTGTGCAATCTTTTGGTTTACTTTCTTTGGTTTAGTTTATTTAGTTACCTGGAAGACTGCAGAAAGAAATTTTCAGGTATTCCAGAAAAAATCTATCGTGTTCTAATCCAAACTAAATCGAACAGTATAAATATCTGAAATAATGACAGCTGAGAGGACACTCTAGTTGCCACATTGGAATGGTGCCAACATCACATAAAGTTCAGTGGCCTCTACAAAGTGGATGAGGGACCTTGATCAGTATATGTCATAATAAACAACCAACCAAAATGTATCATTACTCTTCACTGATAGTGTTATTTGAGATGTGAAAATTACATTATCACAGAAACACTCCAACAGTGTGCTCTCCCTTACCTTGCAGGGAAAGATGAATCTCATTTGTGAGATGGGTATATCACCTATATCACCTGCTAAAGAAATAAAAGATTTCCCTTTCTCAGGTAGTCAGTCTGATCTCCTTACTAGTTACTCAGATTTAATTAGGAGGAAAACCCATTTAATTATGAGACAGTGGAAGGAGCTCAAAGCTATAATCAGGGCTCATTTTGGACATTTATCAGAGAGGTCATTCAGCCTTTCACTGTCATTCCTGTTGATTTCTGGTCCCTGAGTCAAATTTTCCAGGGGCAGTAATGATCATCTATTACTGATAATTTTCTATGGAGATATTTTTTCATCTTTCATTCATTTTTTAAAATCCTTTGGCTTCTCCTATCCTTGCATGCTCCTTTTGCTGACGTCCTCCTTGCTTCATCATCTCTTTTCTTCCATTCTGTGTACCTCATCTTTCATCAGACTTACTTTGGACAGTGAAATCCTTGTATTTGCCTACTGCTCTACTAAATACCATGTATTTACCTACTGATGTCCATAGCTCCATCCAGTACCATTGTAAGACTCCAAAACATTATGCTTCAGGGCAATGGAAACTCATCAGCTGCCAGCAGAATGACACTGTTTATCAGCCAAATAAACACAATTTTGGCTGCCAGGATTTGCTTAGTCAATGCTCTAACTTCCATTTGACTCTTGCCAAGCATCTGAACCTCTTTCCTTGTTAGCTATGGCTGAGTTCTACATCAATAGGAGTTTTTAGAAAGTGATTAATATTCATATTTAAAAGAAAGAGGTACATCCTGCATGGGGTTAACCCTAGAACCAAGTGAGGTTTTCTGTCCAGGATCCAATATATTCCATATCCTACGGAATGAGTGTGCCAGAACTGGTTAAAAATAGCTTCTTCCATTCATTAGTGTCAGCAGATGGCCATTAATCTTCCTGAAAGTATTGATTCAAACTACTCGTCTCCACTTTCCAGGCCCTTCACAGACTCCCCTCTGCCCATCTATCATCCCTCCTTACACAGCTGAAAAGGTGGCTGGCTCTGGAACAAGTGGGTGACAGTAACAAACCAGCAACTCCCTTACACGCTGCCCCTCACGTCTGCAGGGAGCTGTACACAGCATCAGCAAAGCTTTGCCATTTGTCTCCTTTAAATGCTTTCCTAAAACTTCCCTTGGCCATAAGGACTACAAAAGCATTACATAGTCATACACTGCACTAGAGTCTCTCTATGACTCAGTCTTGCCAAGGACCATCCTAGCACTGTACGTTTCTCCATCTCCAATATCTGTCTGTCACAAACAATGTCTTGTCTCCTTGGCTTCAGGTGCATGATCTACCACCCTGTAAGTTTTAACACTGTAGTTCCCTGTGCATCAGCAGCTGGTGTCTCCCATATCAGACAAACCCATGTCATTCCTATGCCAGTCAGCATAAATGTGCCCTAGCATCACAAGAATTCACTCTTTTACTTCTAGAATTGATATTCTGTTGTTTGTTCCTAAGCTAAGTGTTCACTGTCTTTCCTTTAAGATCCAGATCATCAAATTTAGCTAATATAGATCTTCCTTCTGTCCTAGTTTCAAGATCTCCCCAAAGCCATGTGTGATTTTCCTAGAAGAAATATTGAAGATGCAAGAGGCTCTCACCAGGAAGATGTATTAAAGACGTCAAGAAACGTATTCTCCCTTCTTTCTCAAACCCAAATTCCAAGAGAAGATATTACATACTTTTTGGAAAGAAACCCCACAGCCGTTCACACTCCATCCCTTGCAATGAAAAGGAAGACTTCCCAAGCTCAGACATCGCCAGCAAAAAAACCTGATGTGGAGTTCATAGAACCTGAGAAACAACCTTTTCTTGAAAAAAGAAGTGATACACACACACCTCTTCTGCATGAGGACCCAGACCCCAGAGCCCCAGCTGTCAGTGTGACACCCCAAACCCCTCTCCGTTTCAAACAGCACAAACCAGCTACGACACAGACTGTTCCCGCTCATCGCAACACAAGTGCAAGTTCATTCTTTGCAAGGCCACCTGTTGTTCACCAAATTCGCTCCAAGTATGGCTATTCTCCCAGGAAATGGCCTGGTAGAGCTGCAGTCTTGAGGACTAAAACATCCCAAGATTTCCCAACAGAGCAGCCTAGAACATCACTTTTGGCAACAAACCTTCCCCCCCCTTCCCATTTAATCGGCTCTTCCCTTGATACAGCTTCTCAGAGTGACCCAGCAGGGTCTGCTCCCAAAGCACAGACCACAGCAGCCAGAAAGTTGTTCAACAGAGCAATGGATCATGTGGAACTACCCAAAACTGGCAGTGGGACGCATCACAAAGTCATGTGTGCTGACATGCTGTGCTTTCCTGATGTGCGGTGCGAGCCAGCTGAAGATGGAGGATTTAAATGTGGCCCTTGTCCCACTGGATACAGGGGTGATGGAATTACATGTGAAGGTAAGGGGGAAATCCTCTTTAAAAATCTTTTATAACATCAGGTCTAATAATTCTCCAAAGTAAAAATTAATTTTTATTATAAATCCAGATGGTTTTGTAACTGGGATCATTCTGTTTTCAAAACCAATTATATTTTGAAATAAGAAATATAACATAAGAAAGTCTGTAATTTTTCAAAAGCTCTTTCTGCTTACAAAAATGACATATTTATTTGATAATATCTAATCTCTTGAAAACAGGGACAGATTGTGATCTTGCTTACCCTTGTGTAAGGCCAAATTCACTCTACTGAAGTCATCACACTTGAAAACATATCAAACTTTGCTGGGAAAGAGCAAAATTGACTGCATTTCTCTATACAACACATATTCTATGAAAACTAAGTGTTCTACTACCTCACAAATTACTTGTAAATATCTGTCTAATATCTTAAATACAAAACTGAGCTTGCCCTGTGAAATGTATAACACCAGAAGGGTTTTCACAATATATTGATTTATTCATGAGACAGCTGATAATCCCTCTGTAAAACAATAGAATCATGCACATTGTTGAAGCAATGAATTCCTTGACTTAGCTGTCATTAATCACACCTTTTGTTGACATCTCTCTGACAAGTTCATCTCGTAACTGGCCTTTCACTGCACAAGGCAGAAGTATTTGCATCATCTGTTTCACTCTCTTTCACACCTGGTCTCTCATGTTCCATGCACAGAGCAGACAGGAGTGGGGGGGGTCTCACCTGTGATGTGCTGTGGAGGACCTTGCAAGGATTCCTTGCTGTAAGGAAGGCTTTTTGGAGGTGTAAAGTCCCCAGCATTGCTGCAGCCCTCTGAGCTCAGAGAACTGCTGGAGGTAGTTTACAAAACGTACAAGAAAAGGTTACTACTGTCTCAGGTGCTATAATTTTTTGCCTCTTTGCACATTTCTGAAATGCCCTTTCTAAAGGCCTTAAGGTTACCTGGCACAAAAAATCCTGTCTTTGACCTCTATTTTATACCCGGAGTTGGAAAACCACCAAATACCTCCCGGTACTGGGAAACCCAAAGCAAGTCTGACCCCTGAACGGCCTCCCCTCAAAGACCATACCCAGGTACAAATGAATATTTACAGATATGGATACACAGCTGCTGTGTCTATGTTTAATATGCCCAACAGTATAAGCCTCAAAACATAAATCTACCTTAAAATATAAATCTCCCTCTGCCTTTTACTATCTTGCAAGATGAGATGTTTTCTTCAATTACCGGTATTACCGAAAATCTCTCCGGAGAGTCCTTAGGATGAAATACTTTATTACCAACATCATTCTGTGTCTCAGGGCTTGATGACATGATACACAAACATCCTTTATTTGTCTCTTGTCACTGACTGTGACACCTGACTCAATAATTAGCCTGTCTTCTCCCTCCCCTGCTTCATCCTGAGCCCCCCTGCCCACCTGCGGGCAGCACCTTGGAGCGTGGCCAGTAGTGTGAAGAGCACCCATTGTACCTCCAGCTGTGGATGTCTCTTCCCATGTCAGAGGCAGCTGATTTATCGTGACAGATGAGGCTGAAAAATGAGGATAATTTCTTGGACTGGGGCCTGTCATAACCTCAGCTATCGTCACCTTACAATGCGGACACAACTGTACCGAATCCCTTCAAGACAGTGGCCCCCTCTAAGAACAGCAGGCAGGAAAATTGGGCAAGGGATCAAAGCTTAGATAAGACCAATACTTGCAAAATATTCAGGCTTCAACACAATATCCTTGGCAAGTGAGAAAAAATGCCAACAGACTCGGACGCCACTGATGGTTGTCACCTTCTCATTTGGTATCAAATTCACTGAGATAAAAGAAACAGCCCACTGATAGCAAGTTTTAATACCTGTGGTGCTTGAGGAGATGTGACCTTTGTTTAATAAGAATGTCTGGAAATATTCTAAGATAATAAATACTTTTCTGAGTGGTATTTATCTTGTGAGAGAGTGTAAATTTTTTTTGCCAGTTGTGCAGATTCAAAATCAGGCTGAGAGGATTTGAAGGGGAAAAAAAACTACACCATCCTGAAAATTAATTTCTCTTCTAATGTAAATCATAGCACATTCTATAGCTGTAATATTCTTATCCTTTTGGACAAGCCCTTCAGTCTCCCTGTTATGATTTAATTGGAAGTCCTCTCCATTTACTCTGACATTGGGAATCACAGGCTCACAGGACCACAGGCTGGAAGAGACCCCTGGGGACCATCAGGTACAACCTCCTACCTTCTTTTGGAAGAACTTAGGTAGATATCAGTGTGTTTTTCTTGTATTCAGGCATCTAAACTGAGATATGTTCAGATCCTGTTAGCAATTTCCGTTTAGATCACCCCACTGACATCTTTATTGTCTAACAGATGTAGAACCTGCTTTTGCTCATCTTGCTTTGGTGCAATAAGGATTACAGATTCTTAATTCTTTTATTTCTGGCAGCAACTACACGCTCTGCAGATGAGGTGAGATGAAGCAGTTCCTCAAGGCTCTGCTCATCATTCCTCTGCCCTTTCTTACAACTCACCAGCTTCTCAGCTCTTAGAGCTGTGTCACCTTCCTGCAATAAAGGCAATATGGCCATTTATTAGTGGCCTGATGTCAAGATTAGTCTGCCAAACAAACCAGCTTTAAAAGCTTCATTTCAGAGTAGTGTTTTGGAGATACAGTTTTGGAGATAGCTGGCATCACCTATACAAAAATAAAAACATAAATAAGGAAGATCAGACCTGCTGTAGTCCCCTGGATTCTCCCACATTTCCTCTTGAAGAAAATGCTCTCTGCCTTTTATGGAATAAACCTAGCCAAGAGTTCCTCTGATGACGAGGGAGGTTGCTAAATACCTAATATTCACTCTGAGTGCCATTTCCAAGGATATATACCATAAAACCCCATGCATTTCTGCAGTATACTTCCAGCAGTTTTACAGGACAGCACATATCACCTGCCAACGTGCACTGCAGGAGCCTCAGAACACTCAGAGCTTTACCCATTCCAGCTCAGCACGACAGTGGAATGAAAACCTAACGCTGTAAATAATGCAAAACAATTCCAATCCAGGATTGCTTTCAGAACGTTTCTGACATTTTGTCTGGTTTATTACAAGTGGCACAAGTACCACAGCACTTTGTAACATTTGAGGGTAATGCTCTGGAATATTTCTTAGTGTTGTTAGTCACCCTATAGAGCAATCACTTGTTGTCCTATGTTCCCCACTCTACTACAGGGACACAGGCCTGCATTTTCAAAGATGCTGCACCCACTGGACAAGGAAAAGGAAACAAATTCTGATGTTTCCTGGTTCACTTACCAGGGTCTGTGCACATGGCACTGCCCAAGGGAAGCTGTTGTACTCCGTAAGCCCCCCAGGGTGCCCCAAGGTGGAACACGTCCTTTCCATTTGATAACAGGGTTGAAGTTAATCAAAAACTCTGCTTTGGGCGTAGTTCTGGGGCTTCTTTTTGAGAGAACTAGACCTGAAGACTGAAGAAAGAGAAGAATTTAAGCCACATTTCAGGTCATCCTTTTTTGTTTGTTTGTTTCCCTATCTCCAAAACCCTTTGAGTGTCTGGTACCTGAAACTGCATGATTAAGAAGTCGAAGTCTCTATTCAGAAGAATGCAGATAATTATTTTGAATTATTTTGGATTAGGTTGGCATCTTTCTGGTTTTTTAGTAGTCATAAAAGAACCTCAATATTTCTATGGAAGATTAATACATGCTACCTTAGAAACATTTTCTTAAAAATGTGAAGTCAGTAAAACTCTGGGATATTTTATGGGCTTTGAACAGTGTTTTCTAAGGGAAGGTGTAGCCTATAATAGTAGGAGTCATGCTTTCTGCTCAAGAGTTAAAAACACAGCACTGCCTTGACATTACAAAACCACTGTTCAAACTAAATAATTTTTAAAATAACAGGAAAGATGGAGTATGACCTCAGGATGAACAGCTGGATGAAACGAGGCAGAAAAAATATCAGGCAGCTGACATTCATCTGTTTTGACATTTTACACACAAAAAGATCTACCACATCAGACCAAAAGTCCTTCTCCTATCTCCAACAGCTACCAACAGCATTTGTCTGGTAGTATATGGGAAAGATATTGGGATACTGTCCAGAATAGTCTCTCAACAAGTTATGGGTCATGTGCTTAGAAACATCAAGGCAATGCCTTTGAACATTACCCTGTTCACCCTTTCTGGGCCATGCCAGACTTCAGTTTTCTGTCCTAACCACCCAGTCATGTCCTTCACAAGAACCTCATATATTCACTTGTTCTTCATAGAAAAGCTCTTCCATAACTTCAGTTATCCTTATCACCTTTTCCTGCATTTTTTTTCACTTTTACTGTGTCTTTTCTGAGCTGAGGGATCAGACCTGAACATGAAATTTCAGATGCAGCTCACCATGGACACAGACCATAATAAAGTCTGACATTTGTACTTTGCTCATTTCTTAGCAATTCCTAAGACTTTATTTGCTTTTTTTTGACTGCAGATGAGCACTCAGCTGACATTTCACAAAATCCATTAGTACAACCTAACCAGAACCAGTGTCTGCATTTGTATTCCCAACTTATTCAGTCAAGTTACTCCTGTTAATATTCTAATTGTATGCTGGTCATTTCTCTCACAACTGGGCTCCAGACTACTGGACTATTTAAATATGCATATGAGTTATTTTAATTGCACTAATACATGCCTTAACCCTATGCTTTCTTTCCTTTATCTGAGTATCTTGCATGCAAAAGAAATGCTTCAGCCCTCAACTTTTCAAAAGGAAAACCAATAACCTGTTTACTTCTCTTCCCTTTTTTTACCCACCTTGTGCTGCACATATTAAAACTTCATCCATTTAGGAAATTAGACTGATGTATCTTTGAAATAAAATAAATAATGTACAACAATGTAGATTCCTTCCAGTGAAGCCTGTCCTGATCAAAATTTTAAGCAGGTAATGCTCCCAGCCTTCCAAGCCTGGCTTTAGTGGTGCAGACCCAGGAATTCCTATGCTGGATGGCACAGAGTTACTCACTTTTGAAATGCCAAACAATAACTCTGTCCTGGAAGACATTTGCTGATGAGGCTATTGAAAATGGAGAAAACAGCACAGCGTCTAGTGCTCCTTAGTGCCCCCAAAGTTATTGCAGAGAAACTTATAAAAAGAGTATGATCTCATTTTAATAGAAAAAAAAAAAGAAGTTTTGGGATATTTCCCAAAAAGCCTTTTCAAAGAAAACAATAATGCACTTCTCTATTTTCACCTCCAGATTTTAAATTATAATCATAAACATATGTACATTTGACAGCAAGATTGACCATTTGCAGCAATGTTTTTTCCTCTTTGCTGTTATTTTATCCCATCCAAAACAGCTCAGTATAAAAACACTGTAATACCTTTCTACAATTTAGCAAATGCTTATGGAAAAAAAAAAAAATATTCATTCCAGAAGATGAAAGATAGAAGTTTGGGAAAAAAATCTGACACAAACAATATGTTTCTATTACAGAGGGAAATGTCTTTTAGGTGAATATTACTCTCACTCTCACATACCAGCCAGTGCTCAGTTTTTTATCTTTTGCTATTCCCCAGTAATAGAACAGTTTTAAACATTTTACTATTAAATGTCACCATAAGAGCTAAACGTTTTAATATCCAAAATACCATGTTCTTTTCTGACAGTTCAGATGCATCTTGGAACGTGGAAAGGCCAGATGGAAAGTATTCCATTCAAACGGACACATTTGCTCTAAGTGCTACATACAAGCCACGCTGAAATAAAGCATAATATGTTTGAATGTCACTGTGCTTGGCATAGCACTTAGGCACCTGGAGGCTTTATACAACCATCATCCTACAGGAAAGGCAATCACATTTCACGTACTTTAAAAAGCGTGGTACGGTTTTTTCCCCAGGTTTTGTACTCCCCTATCGCCACACAGATAATATTAACCATTTTCACACCCTCTTAGTTTCTAATTGCAAAGAAATCCCTTTATAAACAAGTCCTGTGCTTACCCAAGCCCAGGGGAATGGGAAGGTTTCAGATGGATGTGCTTGCAGCAGCACCCTCCTTCCAGAGCCCTATACTTGTCCTTCACTTCAGTGAGATCCAGTGCAAGCCCCCAAACACAAGTGGTGAATTATAATCATAGCACTGAAATTTTAAAGGAATAACAAATTTAGGAAAAACCAGCTTCAATTTCTTCCCCTTTTGTTGACTTTCTGTTTCATCATGGACTGTTACCTCTGGTTTGCCCTAATGGCATGAGTCCCCCAGGTGCCTGAGCCTCTGACTTGCTTCAGCAGCTGCTCCTGGTGGCTAAAATAGAAAAACTTTGGGAAAGTTTAACACTAACTGCTTAAATGGGTCTAAATCAAATAATAGAATCACAGAATGCTTTGGGAGGGAAGGGACCTGAAAGATCATCTCATTCCATACTCCTTGCCAAGGCCAGGGACACTTTCCACTAACCCAGCTTGTTCCAAGCCTCGCCCAACCTGATCCTCAACACTTCCAGGGATAGGGCAGACACAGCTTCTCTGGGCAACCTGTGCCAGTGCCTCACCACCCTCACAGTAAAGAATTTCTTCCTAGTATCTAATATAAACTTATCTAAATCTGTTTAGTTCTCCAGACAATTATAATTTTTTATCTTTTTTTTTTCTCATAGATGTACGCTTGGAATTTCGGCTAAACCCATGTTGATTTGCAAATGTCTAAACCTCATAACCCATCAAATCAAAACTAAATTTAGCTCTATGACATTCTTAGCATGTATAGTATGGATTTAAAATACATTTAGTAAGTTTTCTGTTCTCAGGCATATCAAATCCTAAAGTTACATAATGCAGCATTGAAAATTTCACAGTTAAAACTGTATGGTAACAGGAAATGTAAATACCAAAGTACCTGAAGAGCAGATCTAATACCAAATATATTTCTTCAATGATATTTGTGTCAAAATGAATGATTTCTTGGAGCTTGTCTTTTTAACTAGAATTGGTCAATGTGTGTGGCCTTTTATTACTTTTCGGGATGGCAAAGTTCATATTCCATGGCTTTACATGAAGGCTCTGTGACAATTATAAGAGGTGAGGAGGTCTTCAACACAATAACTGCATTTAAATTATGAGGTGCCCCAGGAATTTGTCCTTCATTTAGCTTTCCATTTGCACAGTCCATTTTCCAGTTTTAAGAACAAAATGTGGTGAATTAAGGTTCTTTTCCCTTTTAACAATAACTTAAAATGAAAAGTGCTTTATTTCAGATCTCTTTAGCTTCATTTTGCATTTTCCTTGGAATAACCTTGCTCAGCTTCATATTCATTAGAAAAGACAAAACTCTGCCAGTAAAGTGTGCCAAAGTACAAGATTTTTCTCTGTATTCACTTCCCAAGCACAAGGAAAGATATTTTTCATTCTGGTATGTGAGATGGCTTTTTTTTTCTTTCCCAGAGGCATGAGAGCCAGCTGACACTTGTGTCTTGCTCTGTTCCTGCACACAGCACTTCTGTTTTTGAGTGCCAGTGATCATCTTCTTCCTTCAGTGATCTTCCTCCTCCTCTCTTGTGTTTGCCATACAGAATTACCTCTTATTGGAGGGCTACAAGTGGAAGTGTTCATGATATCTTGTGTCAGGGACCTACCTTAAATCTTAGGTTTAAGAGGCGAAACCTTCCAGGCTCCCTCTACAGTAAAACCATTAGACTCATAATGATCAACATTTTAAAAGCAGGTGAGTCTCTTCAGCCTGGTTCAAGAGCTGCAGTGCATTCCAGCTTTACACCTGCTCATCCTCTTTCTTCAACAGAATGACATTGCATATTGCAATAAGTCTAGAAATCATTAACTGATTTGCTGTTTTGACTACAGAACTCACGCTACTCATTAAATACTAAATTTTTTGCTTAAATGTTTGCCATTTGGCTGGTAAATCCCCACACAACACTTTTCTCTACAGAACAAACACTTCACCTCTGCCTTGGTGTAACTTCTGTCACGTGTTAAGGCTTCCTGACCATCCACAAGGCAAATCTTGTACTGGGTCCATCCTTAGACTTCAAAAATATGTGCTTAAAAATGTGCATGCTCAGAACTTAAATATGATTGTGTTAAAATCACTCCCTTGCAGACATTATAGAGCTGCTCGTTAGTGCTGTATTACTAATGTGACACCCACTGCTATCCTGCAGTGTTTTCCTCAGCCAAATTACTTGTTGGATTAATAAAATGGTATGGGGAGAGAAGGAACCTGTGCTGTGCTCGTATCCACGCAGAATGTAATATTTGAATTGCATTTTTTTTTTGTCTCCTGTTCTACTCTTGCAGCACAGTGTGATCCACCATGTGAGCATGGAGGAACTTGTCTACCTCAAAACACTTGTTCTTGTGCTTATGGATTTGTAGGTCCTCGATGTGAAACGAGTACGTATGAACTCATTTGGGCTTTTCTCATTACATGTTTGAATTAGCAGAAAATTACAAGATTAAAAGAATGACTTTTTTTTTTCTATATTTCTCCTTAAAATGATTAATAAATACAGGAAGAAGAATAAAATATAACATGCTGAAGTAATACAGTAGCTAAACTATTTCAGAGCATATATTTACCAGCAGCATAGCTGTATTATGTAAAAATATGCACATCTATATCAATATTTTCTACATAAAAATGTTTCTGGAAAAACAAACAAAGAAACAAAAATGTGCCTGTTATTTATAGTAACATTTATGAAATTCAAGGTTGTGAGTGAAGGCAGAAATGCTAATTCTGAGAACACAAAATACCAACCATACCTATTAGGAAGCATGTTACTTTGCAATACAAGTTAAATAAGAGGTTCAATATAGAGAATGTCTGGGGGAAAAAAAATCAGCCTTCAAACCCTTCTATATTAACTGAATGGTAGAACATGTGCAGTTCCATCATCACAGTGGGGCTTATTTAAATATCAGGATGCCCTTGACAGGAATATCATTTTCTCTCTGAACCAAAGTAGCTGGAATACTTTAAAAGCAAAGAATTTTAGATGTAAGGCTTCTAATAGAGAAAGAAAACCAAGGAAAGGGACAGACTCAACCCTCAGTTTGCCTCTTGGACCAATACAATTAGTTATTTACTGTAATAGAGCAACTTCAGGATCTGCACTGGTGTCAGTGATAAGAGATGTCGATCTTTTCTGTGTTTTCCAGTGGTGTGTAACAGGCACTGTCACAACGGTGGGGTCTGTGTGTCCCCAGATGAGTGCAAATGCAGAGATGGGTGGAGCAGCCCTTCTTGTGAGACAGGTAAAGGGTTAGGAATGACTGGTCTTTCAAGCCTTTCGGTGCCCGAGATCCCTGTGGATCCTGTAATTCAGTGGTCAGACTCAGAATTGCTGCTTAAAGAATTGAAGCATAAGAACTGGAGAACAGTAAAGGGCAAAACCTCAGAAGGCTTTGGGTTTATGTAAGGTTTATTCCTAAGTTCACATGTTTATGTAAGTGTTCGTAAGTTTAGACGTTTATGTAAGTATTCCTAAGTTTAGATGTTTATCTAAATCTCAGGGCTACGCAGAGGAAAGCCACAAACAAAACCTTTTCACACCCTTTTAAGCTTGTGTGATTCTGGAGTTATTTCTTAGAATGCACTGCTGCCAGAATTCACACTGCTCCTCCTGCCTGCACAGCACCTACAAAGCTATCCACAGAATGTGGGAGCTCAGGGAAAAGCCACCTGCACCAGTCAGCACGAAATGACAAGGTGAGGATTGGAACTAGGTACCTATTTCTAGTCAATACTCACAGCTTTGAGCCCTTTTTTGAATAGACACAGCTCAGACCTCCCTCTCTGGATCGAAGTGCTGAAAGCTGGAGTACATATTTTTCCTCCAGAGCCACAGCAACTGCAGCACTCACCTGGGACAAGGCATGCAAAACAGTGAAATATTAAAAGGAGCAAGAATGAGGACCACCTTAATCAGTGCCAAACCTCAAGGCTACAGAGGCAGTCTGCTCTGCCACAGTGAATACTAAATGACTAAGACACCTTCAGCCTACATTACCTTTCCTGGAAGGTGAGAGATGTCATTTTAACCTCCATCTCCCAGAGACTGCTCTTCCTGTAAGTGTTAAAATGACAGGCCTAACGAGGACACATAAATTAGCCTAGCTCAGACTCACGGAAAATGACTGGGATTGTCACTACCTATTCTGGTTCCCACTCTCTCCTCTTTTTCTTCTCATTGAGTTCTGCAATTTTGTTTTGACGTGGCTTTAACAGGATTATTCCAAGAGGAGAACATGCAACAGCAACAGTGATTTCTAATCCAGAATCACAGCTGCAGGATTTTTTTGTCTGTGACACCTTAGAGGGACGACTCTCAGGCTCACCTCTCTGGCACTGCTTTGTGTGCACTACACAGAGTATTCTGTGGACACTGCTGGGGTTTCCCACCAGAAGTGATATCATAGGAATTTTTGAGAGAAGACAGATATAGAAATGAAAAAAATAAAAGGGACTTAGGGGGCTGTACCAATGTAAATACAAACACTGACGGAGTGTGAACAGCTGTGAACTAGCCAGGATAATGAGGCAACTAATCCAAATTCTCCATTAGAAATGAATGAGATCCATTTTGACTTCATAAATCGTTTTCCTTAGTCAGAAAAGCCTCTCATCTAGACTACAATTTAACTTTTTTTCTCTTTCCAAATTGACATTTTATTTCTTCTTTAGTTCATCTGAAATATTTTAGTGACACTTAATTTATTTAAGCTTAAATGTATTTAATTTATTTAATGGGCTATTCTGCAAGATACTGAAAGACAAAGGGAATAGAAGGGAGAAGCCTGGTTTAAATTGTCACTCTGCTGTACAATAAAAACTTTATCAGATTTTTTACTCTTCACACACTGACTTCCCAGCTAAATCAATTTGCAATTATAATAGTCTTTTTTTTTTTTTTTAAGAGTCTGGCTCTTGCCACATACAAATATGCAAGACAGCTTTTAATTCCTAATGCCTGTTATACCATCTACAGTAATAACAGTTGCATAGAGAGGCAAAGGGAGCTCAGCCAGTGGCTTTGCTGGTGATGCATGAGCCAATGTGTTGTGGGAACTGGCATTTAAATGGGGCAGAACAAACAGGTTTTGTGGTGCACACCTATTCAACTTCATGGAGATGCCACGATGCTCTGCTGAATGCAGACAAAGCAGCAAATGGTTAATATCTCATCTCCAGGTTATCCAGGGGGCATATAATGAGACTACATTTACTGCCTTGGGATTGTGACTGGTGAGGATACCGGAATGGGAGCAAATGAACTGTGCGAACTAAAGGAATACATCAGAAATAAATTAAGTTATTACATTAAATTATACTCCATTTCATCCCCCAAGATATGATAAAACACGCTGAAATGCTCCCAATGACCTGTGCAGCAGTAAAAGAGTGGCTACTCTAAAAATTTTGAAATGATCAGAGATCCACAGAGTTGTCTGATATTCCCATACAGCTGTGTGCAACCCTGTGTGCCTGAATGGAGGAATCTGTGTACGGCCAAATATGTGTTCATGTCCTTATGGTTTCTACGGACCACAGTGCCAGAGAGGTAAGAAAGTTCTGTTTTTCATCTTGATAAAGGATCCAGGCTTAAAATACAAACAGCACCTATATTTTTACCTGCCCCCACATGAAGTATATCCAGAGATTCTCCCTATTATAACTCTGTGCTCTCCTTTGGTGTTATAGTCTGTCATAAATCCATATTGTATTGTTCTTAATGGTACTGTGAAGGAGTAAGCACTTATTTGTGATGGCATTAATGATAACTAAATAATTAATCTAAAGCTATCTAAGTCAATGATACCACTACTTAGCAACTATTCAATTAAACATTGAAGCATGGCCCTACTTTGTTCATTTCATGTACCCTGTGGTGTGTACTGTCAGAGCCAGGTGATAATTCATCTTCAGTGGGGCTCACAGTATCACCTACTTGACCACCCTAAAGTGCCATGGCTGGGAGACTTGCACAGGATTCCATCAGGTCCCTGTTTAAAGATCTGATCAAATATTACTCTGACTGACACAGAGCAGGACCTGCTTTGGAATCCCTGTTCTATATTGAGCTCTAAACTGAGGTAAATCATATCTTGGGTTTCTTGCTCACCTTGTGGTCCAGAAGTCAAATTAATAACCCATTGTCTCAGGCAGAACATGAAGAAGAGATAAACTTCTGTTATGGGTCTCAAATAGCTGGAAGGTACCTGTGCTTACACCATTCGTTTTTCATTTCTAGCAACCCTCTAATCTGGTAGTATAAATACACTCTTATTACCAAACCTGAACTATTTCAGTATTAAGTGTTCTTTGCTCTTACTCTCTCCCTTTTGTTTCCCTGGAGTTCCTAGATAAATGCAATCCCAATACATATTTTTGCAAGTGAATGATTCACACACAAAAATCTAATTGCAAATGGAGCTTGCTGGAAGCTCTTTGTTTTTATGGTGGTGGGGGTGAAGGAGAGCACAGAAATGATAAAGAAATGATGCAGACTGTATCTTGATGATCCTTCTCTTGAGGTTCAACATGAAAGGTGATTTCCAACACCTAGGTGATTTGGAAATTTTGCCTTTAAGTGTTATGGTTTAGATAAAGCTAAAACTTGAAGCTACAATAAATATCTACTTTTGTGGGATATGGAATTGATATGGGGATATGATATGGATGCTGAAGAATAGCAAAGCCCTTCCTCCTGCTTCATTGAGGAAGGGGGAAGAAACAGCAACAAAGTCAAGTTAGCAGATGTCAAACACTGATATTTGTTTCAAGGTCAGAAGCCCTTGAGGAAGCTCTTTAGCTGGAGATTTAAAAACCTAAGAGATTCTCAGGAATATCTTGACAACTTAACTACAGGTACCTAAAAGAGACCTTTAGCTGCTAGGACTCATGTCTCACGTTCTTCCCATGAACAAGATACAATCAGGCTCTCCATCTGGGCATCTGCCCAAATCACCCTTTGGGGAGACACCTTCCCTACCCCAGCTAAAAAAAAAACGCCTGTGCAGGTTTGTCTCCCAACACAGGCCCCTAAATAAGGAACCTGTAGTTAGGCAGTGTTGATCCCCCATGTGATTTTGGTGCACAAAACTCCTGCTTTCCTTTCACTAGCTGTGTGCATTCCCCCCTGTAAGAACGGCGGTCACTGCGTTCGAACCAACGTGTGCTCCTGCACCGAGGGCTACGCTGGGAGAAGGTGCCAGAAAAGTGAGTTACAGATTTCCCTTTGTTTTCCAATGTTCTCTGACTCCCAAACAGCTTTTTTTTTTTTTTTTTTTTCCTTTTTGTACATGCTCCACAGAATACTCAACCTGTATTTATGCTGTGATCTCCTATATTTCTATCAGAGCTCATATAGCACTACATTATTCCCAAAACCTACCTTTTAATTAGAATAGCATTAAGTCAAGTCAGTGTCAGGAGTAGAACACTTTTGCTAGAATCCTCTCTAAATATTTCATTCAAAATGAGTAACACTCGAATCTGGAGAGGAATTAATTATTTTTCATTACAGTTTTTTAGGGAAAAATATTAAATCCAAAGGCCAAGCAGCTGAATGAGTTCCTTAAAAATATTAGTACATCATACTTCTAGCTTAATTAAGACAGTTGGTTAATAACACTTCAGCCTTGACTTTGTTCTTGTCACTGAAAATTCCCTTTTCACGTTACCATCAGTATTAATATTTGATTCTTCTATTCTTCTAGGCAAATAGGTTATTTTGGCACTTTTACAGACTCTATTACTCAACAATACCTGTCAGCCAGGGAGTTTAGGATATGCATGTGAAAACTTTTTTTAGTATTATTATTATTTCCTAATCAGTTTGAAATTGGCTAAAGGGGAGCTGTGAAAGCAACCATTCTTGGCAGGAAGAATCTGTACATTTCCAGAGCAGTTTATGTCTCTCACACAGAGAGAGAAAAAAACCGAAAAGCTAGTAAAAAAATTCCCTCCAGCAACAAAAGCCCTCTCATTCCCCGTACTACAGCTCTCCCCTCCTTCAGCAGGGAAAGTCATGATGCACAGGACACAATTGAATAGTCTGTTCTGGCAGGAATGAGCTGGAGGGAGAAAAAAGGAGGAAAAAAACCTTATGTTCGGCATCTTGTTTTTGAGGTTAGAGAACATTAGAAAAGTGCTGTTTCCAGCTTTAAACATCCTGCCACGTCTCCAGGCAGATCAAAGGAAAACTTGGTGATGGTGATTGCACTCTAGCAAAGCACTCCCTGAAATCCTCCAACCACTACCAACACACTGAGTGTTTCTTTCCACTTTCCAAAAGTTTATGAGGTTTTGTTGTCCACCTTGATGTAATCTTTTGCAAAATGGTTTTTTGAGATGAAGGAAACAGTTTTGTTCTGTCTGATCCAAGCCTCCATTCTACTTCAAAAACCTCTACATAGTCTGTTTTATTTAGTCTAGTGTTATAAAAACTTAAATAAAGGACCTATGAACGTGATGAATGAAGAGAAGATGATTAAGTAGAAGGAAAATGCTACTATTTTCTGACTCTTACTGACCACTGATTGTAAACTGGTGAAAGATGTTGAGCAATGTTTCTTTTTTCTTGCTTAAAATCAACAGGACATTGGACAAGTATCATGACTCATCAAAAGTAGTTTTTTCACAAGCTTTTCATGTCAAGCAGTTGCTATTAGAGTTGTATGTCTTCTTACTGTTGTCATATGAAATACCTTCTCTCTCCTCTGCCAGAGGTTCCAGATTTTGCTGTTCCTCTGGAGCAAAGGACTGCACATGGCACATGGCAGAAGTCAGTCAGCTCACCTCTGCAAAACTTTCTCCACAGTCCAATCAATGTTTTCATCACTTACCCTTTGGATATGTTGATATTGTTTCCATTGGCTTTAAGCATTTCTCTTTCCTTCTTAATATCTCCCCTGCATGGACAGAGAAACAAAATCTTCTGTTTGGTTTAGGCAGCTTCAGATTCTCAACTGAAGGAGAGAATTAAAACTAAAAACCATGTGGCCCATCAAAGACAGGTCATTTTTATACTGAAGCCAAATAGGCTATTGGTTTATTTTAAATATACACAACATGCTGTAGGATTTTCACTTTCATCCCTGTTCAGTTTGGAATTTCTACTGCTCTCTGCATGACAGCCAAAAATGTGCAGGACAGAGTGGTGGCACCACGTCTTTGCTGTTCGGGCTCGCTCCTCTTTGCTTCCTTAGTGTATGGAGAAAGGCATTCAGCCTGAAAGTTTGTGGTTTTTATCTAAATAAACATCATCTCAAAACCAAAAAAAAAAAGTACAAATCATCGAGGTCTGATTGGTTACCAGCTGAAATATAAGGCTTTACCCAGTGTGTTTCCTGATAAATAACTGCCTGATGATTATGCAAACCAGACACCCACAGCCTGGATGAGAGGGTGGCAGCGCTGACAGTGAAATGTGTGGTTATGCCTCAGCAGTCCTACAGCCTTGTATCCTCACTTGCTACATGTTGTTTTCAGTATAATCAGTCTTTTTGGGAGGGAAGAGGCAAATGCTGGCAGTACCTCAGAAGAAAACATATTTCTGGATCAACTTTGCATCAAACAAACATACTCAGCGTTAACACTAAAGAAGAACTATTTGCACAGAGGTCTGGATTCCGTTTTGAAAAATGCGCAGCTGTAACAATCCTGGGATGTCACTGCTTTTCATGAGGCTTTAAAGCAGGGTTCTCACTGGTTTCTACTGCATCCTGACTAAAATTACAAAGACAGCACACTAGGTTTTGTTTATTTACTGCCTGTATTGTCGTAGGACTGCTTTGCAGAAAAACTCTTACAAACGAAAGCTCATAAAGCTGAGTTTTCTTTATGAATGATTGGAGCAAAGAGAAGGGGAGAAAAGGAGGGATTCGTGGTACCACGCACATGTCCTGCACTGCTATCTGCTTCTTGCCAGTGCATCTCTGAGCAAAAAGGCGAGCCACAGCTCCCTCTGGAGCTCATCAGCCAGCAAGAGGTCACGGGAGAACAGTGCCGAGCATCCTCCTCTTCCCTCTGCAGCGCACCCACAGCCTGACCTCGGTCCCTGTGTCGGCACCGTGCACGTTGGCCCCGCGTGTCCCTCCGGCAAGCTGGGCTTCACTCACTGTTTAAAACCGAGACCATGTTCCTGCACGCATCTACTTCATTGTGTCAGGCTGAATCCTGACGGCTCTGTGTGTCACATAAATCATCACGCTGACATTGGGACTTTGCAGATTGGATCTCAAAGATGGGAGATAACTATTTCTCCATTTCAGTAATTCCTGCAGGCAGGATTTATAACCAATACACAGTGCACAGTATAACTCACATTCATTTCTCCAGCTCTGCTTGCTCCTCTTCCCTCCCCCTTCCTTTTTCCTTCCCGGTAGCATGAGGACTTTACTTGCATGAGAGCTAGAGGCAAACTAATTGGAAATGTGAACACTGGGTTTCAAAGGCAGCTTTTTGCAAAGCAATGTCATATTGTGAAAGTCACTGATTTCCCATATTCCAGCCTTCCCATGTAATATTTCTGTACATTACTGCCTCGCCAGCTGCATAAGCAGGAAGTTTTACTGCTCAACAAATCAGACTCCTACCGAGTTGTCATTTTGACACTGTGTGATATATTCTCTGGAATGCCTTCACTGAGTAGCCAGATTGACTTAAGCTGTCTAAAATCAGCCAGTTTGCAAACCAGAGGTCCAGGATACCCTCCCACACAAACCAAGCAGGGAACAAACCACATATCTCATCTAAACGGATGGAGGAATCATTTGCATTAGACTTGCTTTTCATATGTCAAGGATGTGCTTAAAAGCAACAAGTGTTTGTCTCAGATTTCTGGATGGCAAATATCCTTGAGCAGTGGGTGTTTGGAAGAAAATGAACAGCTGCTTGTAGCAAAGAGACTTGTAACTTACTGTTCAAAACATTAGTTTTGCAACAGATGTACAAAGATTTGCAGGCTGGCTTGGGGACTGGTTGGTGCCCAGTCTGGAGACAGGGGAAAAGGGAACACTGGTCTCAGTCCTTACCTAATTTTCCAGTCAGTGTAACAGAATAGGGTCATATTAGGTGTCATCTTCCTTCCCTGTGTAGGAAATACAACAGGAAAAAAATCAGGGCTACCACTGTCTTTCCCAATCAGCTGAACACAACATGATCCATGTGTTTTGCCTGGGGGGAACAGGGAGAGCTGTGGCTTCCCAGAGGAAGGGATAGGGCCAAACAGGAGAGAGTGACTCAAGGTACAACCTGGTTTTTGGTCTGCTCTCAGAGCAGTGCTTCTCTCTGTTCACTCAGTAGGGACTTGTCACAAAACCATTAGTTGGCCTTTCTTAAAAACTACGTTTTGTTCATATACATGTAGCTGATGCATTTATTTTAATAAGGGTTTTGAGCACATGCAGCTGTCAAAATTTATTTTTCAGGAAGAGAACAAGAATACATCTGGGTAAGAATTGAATATATATCCTAAATAAGCCCAAAAGCCTTATTAAATTTTTTATTCATTCCATAAGCAAAACATTCCCAGACTACAGCGTGAATTTTACTAGAGTAGAAAATCTAAATTCTGATACAGTATTTCTTTTGTTGTATCTTAAAGGCACAGAAAAGATGTGCCAGAGCTGCTTCTGTATGTAAAAGCATATCTAAAGTAAAAGAGCAGGGGTTCCTGAATTACTGCATCTCTCTTTTGCAGTGGGCCTCTGTGTGAGGATAAGTGCTTTTTGTCCACTAATTGATTTAAGAAACAGTACTTCAGGGGGTCTGTATTTAACTAAAATATTTTTTAAATGTCTCTTAAAAAAAAGGAGCAATAGATCTACCCAGTGAAAAGCCCAGAGGACAGATGGTTATGGAGATTAATGTTGTCTGTTTATACAAAAAGACACAGGTAAGACAATCCTCTCCAGCACTGCTTTCCAAGTAAGCTTAAGCTTACTTTCCAAGAGAGATAATAACAGGGTGATGAAGAGATAAATGCAGTGCCAATACAGACAGAGGTCCTATTCCAAACCTTCTGACCGGGGTCTTACCTGAGATCCTCACTTCTTGGCTGGGTTATCAGCCAGACCACAGTGGCCTGTGGCTGGTTTTCTTGTCTTGAGGCTTCATCTCCTGGGCCACTGCAGTTCTCCTTGGTTACTCTGCCTGGATCTCCCTTTTCCTTCGTACAGGTGAAAATAAACCAACTTTCACCAAGCCCAGGCAGT